CATCAGAGGCTCCCGGTGTGAGGGACCTGGCGCCCGGGAACAAGTGTCCAGAACAGCCCCAGCCCCTGCCCAGGCACAGCTCATTTGAGGGGAGGTGCGGGGCAGCGGGCGGTCCGGCTGTCCCTGTACTGACTTCAGAAGGTATCTGCTGAACAACCCCCTACAGAAATACCTCTAAAAGGGCTCTAATGTGTTGATCAATCCAGACTCACATGGATTCCCATCCTCAAGGTTGATGAGCTCCCATAATAATCTGTGAGCCGTTATCAGCTTCCTCTTTTCATCAAGTGATCGCTTTGCCCAGGCCTTGCTTTGCATCATATCATCCACATAAAGGACTGAAACAGCCTCCACAAGCTGCTGAAGAAAAAGTAGCCTTGACTGTTCATCTACAGTTGCTGTATTTTTAGTATTATTATGTTAGCAGATGAGATCCAACTATTTGTTCAGTCAAAAAAATTACATATGTATTATAAATACAGCTGAGGAAATGCAGTTGCGATGGAGTTGATGCACTAGGACACTTCTTTCCTCCTAATCTCCATTTCAGTGGTTGTTCCCTAATTACTAGTCTGGTGGTTCCCAAATGCCAATAATCTTTTTCATTCCCAAATTATTTTTTCTCATTCAGTACTAAATAACTTAAATTTCCTCTTTTTTTCTCTCTGGTTGTGATACATTATGTCCTTTCTTTGGCATCTTTCACTTTTCCAACCCTTTTTCTTTTCCCTTTCTTTCTACTTCCCTCCCTCCAAAATGCAGCTCCCTCCCTGCCACACCTGTGACACCACACTATTCCTCAGCAGCCCTTCTGTTGCTGTGTGTTTTTTACATTTGGATCCCTAAATCAAGTTCCTCTAACATTATAGTAGATCTCAGCTGTAGCATTAGCAGCTTGCATTAGCTGGTGAAATTCTGCATACACTAGTTTTACTGTTTCACTTCTGTGGTGATTCTGTGGCAGGACTGGAACCAGACATGGTATACAAACACACCAAGATTCACCTGGTGCTTTGAGAGTACAGTCATTGCTTGGATCCCTTGTGTGTACCTTTGGATCTGTTTTCCTTTCTACTACTTGTATCTTCGACACAAAAACAAAGGCTATATCAGGATGTCCTACATCTTCAAAACCAAAATGGTAAGAGTGGAGGATGGGGTTTGATCCTAACCATCACAACTTTGATGCAGAACTTAATTTTTCTAAATCATTAACTCCTTTCTGATGATCCATGTCTGTGTTTACTTTGACATATACTCAGTTAAAGTCAGGTCAGTATAAATCAAGTAAAGATTTAGGAAGAACTGTCATAAGATCTCCCCGGTACTTCCATTCAGTTCCCCGCTACTTCTGGTAATGCACTCTCTATCCAAACCTGCTCTTCCACCTCTCCACTCTTACTGCCCAGGCTGCTTGGAGCATTCAGTTCAGTAGCTCGTCCCATCACCATTTCAGTCCATTCCAACATGTGTTTGCTCTCTCTGCCCCAGGTCCTTGGATTCATCCTGGTAATACTGTGTTTTTCTAATGTCTTCTTCGTACTGTGGGAAATAAACCAAAGAATCCCACGGGCTCCAGCATTCTTCATTAGCCCTGCCGTGGTGGGAATCACAATGGTAATTCTTCCTTTGTTTTGTCTGCGTGTGGCCCAGCTCAGCCCTCCTGGGGTGGATATTGTATTTCCCGTGTTTCTCAGCACCTTTGAGCACAAATACAGCTGATAGGGATGAGAAGGCTGGAGAGACACTTTCTGAGTTTCTGCCGTGTGACGCAGCAGGGGTTTGGAGTTGGGGGAAACCACTGGATCCGTAGCTATGGTCTAGAGCCCTGTGGGCAGAGTACACCTCGCAAGAGCCAAGGTAGCAGTAGTGTTTAGAAAGAGGTCTCACAACAAGATCTAGTTTCTCATAACCATGGTATGTGATTTAGTATGGTTTATAATGAAATGGGATTTGTGTTCAACCTTAATGCCTATCCTCCTTTCTGTCATCGTGTCTTCATAGCCTAGATCCTCCCAGCCTGTTGGCCCATGAGTAGTTTTATTACTTGCCCTTTCAGGAGAGACATTCTTGAGTGCAAAATTGCACATAAAGCTTTTCAGTTTTAGCCTTTTAGGAGCAATACTGCAGCTCTGAATGCCTTGAAATGTTTAGTCAAGAAACTAACTGATTTTTCTGTATTGTATCTGTTAATTTGATAATAATGTTTGGCATTCCATTACCAGCTAATTTTTTTGGACAAATTTGTACTTCCTCACAGATCCTTGCCCTGTTCCTTACCCAGGAGGAAAGAATGATGGGCATCCAGTCTTCAGGCATCCTGTTGATTTACTGGCTGCTCTCATTCATGGCTGCAGTTGTGATGTTTATTTCCAAAGTCCAACGTGCCCTAGAAAGAGTAAGTGAAATCACGTATCTTTAACGTGGCAGGGTATGAAGTGTCTAAACAACAGGGCTCTTTTTGCCTCATTGATTGTGAGGTGGAGAACCAAATTCCTTTCTTACAATACATGTTGAGAAAAATGATTGATGACACTGTCATCTCTGTCCATGTTATCCCTTTCAAGGTAGACAGAAAGTGGTTTTCTGAGAGCTAAGCAAACTTCATAGATGAATAAAAGCAAAATGAACATAAATGCTATCACTAAAAACTGGCCTTACAGCAGATTTTGTATCAGCATAAAAATGTTGATATATTATACATTTTTATTATTTGGATATTTGTGGTGAATGTTTACTTGTGGAGGAGTGCTGCCTGGGTTTACACTGACTTCCTGTCAGTGGCCATTTTCCTCAGGCGAACAGTTACACCTCTCCATCACAACAAGGGATAAACAAAAGTTTATGTTACCCCTGGGTGTTTAAGTAATAGGGGAAAAATACACAGCCACTAAACAAAAGACAGTGGGAACTTGCTTGTTCCTGTTGTGTTGAATGATACTCAGGCACCTGGCCTCTTGTAGAAATAACACTTTGCCACTTCTTGCTACCAAAATAGAGTTACAAAAATACTCAGACTTCTTCCTCGTTTTTTCTCTTTCTCATTACAAAATTAATTAGGGAGCCCTTCATGGAGCCCCTTAGGCACACCGTTTATCATAAACCTGGGAGCTGCTTTATTATATCAACAACTCATCCCACTAGGTGAACAAGGAGCTTTTATCCCTCAGAGCACCCAGAGTTCCCAGAATAATGATGTAATGTGGACATCTGACTTGACTAGATGCTATGAAACCTCATGATAAAACCATCCCTATAAATAATAAGTATGTCCATTATTTAGCATTTTCTGATATTCCAGTTTCAGGAGTATATACCTATTTAAGTAGCTCTACATAACTACAGTTTAAATAAATGCACCTCATGCTTTGAACCAAAACCTCAAGAGTTTATGGCTGGTAGAACATGAGAAGCCATCTTCCTCCGATGATTTCACATGAAGGTTCTTACCTCATTCTCAACAATATTCTGTTTCATAGGGCTTCCTGGAAGACTATTTCCGCCATGTTACAACTTACCTTTATGCTAGCCTGGTACTAGGAGAACTTGTGTTATTCTGCTTAGTTGATCACCCTCCTTTCTTCTCTAAAGCCACCAACAATCCTGTAAGTATAATGCAGCTTTTCATAGCACATTGCTTAAGCAGGAATTTAAATTTATGGGGGTACACAGGAACATGAATATCTGGGAGATGTAAGGTGCATTATTCTGTATAAAGGCTGGCAGTACTAAAAGGTAACCGGTGGAATTTGGGATAACAGTACTCTGTCTCTATTTATGTTTTGAAAAACTAAAAACCTTTTCTACCCATAATCCTGTTTATTTTCACTGAAACCAGTAGATAGGGCTCATATTGCTTCCCCATGCTCTCCTGTGCAGCAGTACTCTGAGGTATGAGTATTGCAGAGCTCAGTGCTTCAGAAAATAAATGTCTTTGGGTATGAAGAATTCTCTTCTTTGTTCCTTCATCTGAGACATTATTTGAAGTCAATTCTCCAAAGTCTCCCAATCCCATTGATCCTCCACAATACAGTTACACTGTCAGGGTCAGTGAATGGGGGGTGTGTAACTTTTTGATTGCTTTTCCTGGGGAAGCACAGTAGGGGATTATATTCTTCTGACACATGCCCTTTTCTATATATAAATATCACCCATGTTTTTCCTCCCATCAGAATCAGTGTCCAGAAGCCAGCAGCTCTTTTCTTTCCAAAATCACATACTGGTGGTTCTCTGGGTAAGAAAACACAGAAAAAGACGTGGTTTTGCTAGAATATCAGAAAAAGCCAGCAGCGTAAGAGAGGGTGTAGATGACAGCCAGTAGGAAATACCTCAGCCCCTGTGTTAGCATATGCAGTGAGGATTTAAATTCTTTCCGTGGTGACTGGAGGTACTCTGACAAGATTAAATTATGAAAATTTAACTTAATTTTCTCTATGTAGTTCAAAACACAAGTTTGTGATTCCAAATAATTCTCTTCTTCCTTCCAGCTACCTTTCCAGTGCCCTTCCAATCTTGAAATAGACCTCAGCAATCTCAAAAAAATCACTGTACACCAATCACAGCCTTATCTGCCTGTCAGACCTTCCTGTAACAAATGCTGGGCAAGAAAAAAATACTGAATGAGGACACTGGCCCAGCCTACTGCTTAGCATTCAGAAGTAAAATTATTTCATACCCTGGGCCTAATGTTCACTATGACAAGACTTCATCTGTGTTTCACTGAGCCACAGAGCAAGTTTAACTGAGTTTTGTCCCCCACTGTCCAAGACCCAGCTCTCAGTATGAACTAGAAATTAGGGCTTACTGGCATATCCTCATGATGTTCACAGAAGATAGCATAGGAATTTGAAGCAAAGCTGCTGGTCCTGAACATTCATATTTATTCTGAGAAAGGATAGTTCTACATAGTGTTTTATGTAGGTAAGTCCCTATGTGCTCACTGTGGTGCAGTAACTTAAAGCCCATGTGTTTTGAAAAGGTTACACGTACAACAAATCCTTCTGTGCTTACCATACAATAGTCTGTGTGTTCTCCAGGCTTGTCTGGAAAGGCTGTCGGCAGTCCTTGGGGATGGATGACTTGTGGCCAGTGAGGAAAGAGGACTCCTCTGAAGAACTTGTTGCCTGTGCTCAAAGAGAGTGGAAGAAGTGTCATAGCAGAACCCAGCAGTGAGTACTTCATCTAGAGAGTGTGTCATGTGCTCAGCTGGGCAGTTTTTCTCTTGCCTCTGACATGATAGAAGCAAATAAACTCACAGGTGCTGGTATGCCATCTCAGAATAGGCTTTAAACCGCTCCATTCCTCACAGTGTGCTAGACAGCCTGCTTCAGCACACTGAGGCTTGAACATGAGCTCTGCGAGGTGATTCCTGTCTGGACAAGAGAATGGTTGAAAGATTCAATCTCACTGAATTATTTATCTGTTAAACAACAAGAAAAGGATAACGTACATAAAATAGTCCAAGTAATACTCTGCTATGAAAACATGGGGGTCTTTACTTCAGTGGGCAGCGCTCAGTGAGTGAATTGCTTTGTGTAAAATATGACTTTAAGTGTTGGACTCTGCTGGAGAACATCCTTCTATTCCTGGAAGCATAGAACAGTAAGTTTTTTGTGACAGGGATCATTTTTTGGTGATCAGTTATACTGGACATGGCATGAGACCAAGTGTGAGATATTAAATTAATTTTTTGAAAGCACAAGATCCCCAAGCTTTCTCCAATTGCAGCTAGCTTTCTCATTGTTTCTTTCTTTAGAAAAGTGGAGTCAGCTACATTTAAAAAGAGTCAGAAGAGTGAAACTGGAATGGTAGAAGCTGAAGAGACAGAGGTTCTACTGCAATCAGAGCACAGTCAGAGCGGGCCCTTACTGAAAGTGTTTTGGAGCATGTTTGGAACCTATTTCCTTCTCAGCACTGTCTGCTTAGTTATCTGTGATGTATTCTTGTTCTCCATCCCAAAGTTACTGAGGTATGTACGTATTTATAATGTATTTCTATTACATGTGTAAGATTGTTGCGTGCATGAGCTCGCACAGGGATGCGTACGCCAGCACCTGCAGGGGTAGACACACAAACACTTATCTTTTTTAATCTCCTATTGCTGATGAAAAGAGCTGGATTATCATTTGTGCTAAGCCCACAGTGGGAAAAAAACCCAAACCACTTCCTAAAGCTGTGCACACTTTCTCCACTGCTGTATTCCAACAGTGGAAAGGACAGGCTGCACTAAGCCTTTTGACAACTTTACTAGAACAGGAGTTATTTGATGGTTCTACATATATCATTTGCACAAGCTGTCAGCCACTTGCTGTAGTCTTAAGGCTCCATGTTCCTTGACTAACTATAAAGAGCACAGCTGTGCATCCTACACATCTTACACAGCTCTTTAGTCAGTTGACATAATGCTTTGTAAATTGTGTTGGTACAACACAAACCTGCGTTACAGTATATTTTCAAGGGCAAAAAAATCACTTCTTAGTCATTAAGATTAAGAGAAGTTCTGGGGATGTCAGTGACTTCCTTAGATTATGGTTCACAATTTGCATATTACTGACAAATTCATGAGCCTTCCTTAACACTGAAAACGAGGTCTCCCCTGAGAAGATGCTGAGATCCAAAATTGCTTCAAAACCAAGAGGGACTAAATGTCAAAAATCAGGATACTTAGCAGACATAGGATACTTTTTCAATTCTTCTGCTGTTTTACTAATAAATATCAGCCAGAGACACTAGAGAAATATCCTGGTATTTCTGCATTTTTGTGTGTCTTACATTGCATCTTTTCTACACGGATTCATCAACATTTTGCTCCTGTCTTGCAGCCTTTTCCTGGAGTTCATCGAAGATCAAGAAGCACCTAGCTGGCATGGTTATTTCTATGCCTTTACTATGTTCCTTTTGGCTTGTGTCCAGACTCTGTTTGAACAACGATATATGTACATGTGTCTTGTTCTGGGGTTGAGACTGAAAACTGCAGTAACAGGGCTTGTGTACAGGAAGGTGGGTTTGTAGCTTCCTTTTTAGCCTCATTTTTTTCTAGCCCTATATTACCAGTTCTGACATTGTTGGTACATAGTTCTTAACAATATCAAGGTCGATGTTATTAGAAACTACTTTTAGGATGTAATTCTGTGCTATATTAATCTCTGAACAGTATGTGGGAGGTATTTTACTATTTATTTTCCAGATCTTACCTCTGAAGGAAAAGCCAAGAAAAGGAAAGAGGGAAGCAACATAAACTTTCTTATGCTGTAGATTATGGTTGGGGAAAGGAGTAAATTATTAATCTTAAAGTGAACTCACATATCCCAGGCAACAGCATGTTTTCAGTACCTAGGAGTTGACATTTTTATCCCTCTCTTTTTTTTCTTTCTTCATAAGGAAAATGAAGTTGTTTGATTTTTGGACCAAAGCTGCTGTTTGATGATGCCTTTCCTTTCTTCTCTACTCTGTCTAGATCCTAGTTATGTCAAATGCATCAAGGAAAGCAGCAACAGTAGGTGAAATTGTTAATCTAGTATCTGTTGATGTTCAAAAGCTAATGGATCTGATTATTTATTTTAATGGGACCTGGCTTGCTCCTATTCGGATTATCATCTGCTTTGTCTTCTTGTGGCAGGTAAAATATGATGACAGTACTTATCAATCCCTTTCTATTCTGGGTATCAAAGGAAAAATAAATTTTCAAAATTATGCTTAGAGCTTTGCTGGTTTGAATAACCTGAAATTACCATATTTTTCTTAGCTCTGTACCATGGTGGATTCACTTTTCTTTTTAGATAATATTTTTATTGGTATAGAATCCTTACCTGATCCTTCATCTTCTCACCTGTGTATTCAGCATTCAGTCTCTTTTAGGGAAAAGACTATCACTGTGGTTATTCTGAGCTGACTCATAAACTTCTGCCTCAGATTTTCTTCTCTTTTCAGCCTAAATGTGGTGGCCCAGAGCAGGCTGAGAGTCCAGTTCCAGCTCCTTAGCATAGTTACAGAACATAAAGAGGAATAGTCTGAAATAGTAACTTAACATACTTCATCCCAAACCCTGATTACCACAACATCAGTGAAACAATTTGAAGCAAAGTTATACGATATTCAAAAAGAGCATTAGATACATTGAATTTCCTGGGTATCAAGGGGTTCAGCAAGGAGAGAGCAAAACCAGAATTAGAAATAAAGGTTGATAATCTGAAAGATCCTTTTAATTACCTAATTCAATGTATGGTATTTTCTCAGCAGGCTAAAGCCCTGTTTCTTAGTCCCTGTTTTTGGCAGCACACCAAATGGAAGTATGAGCATTATAGAGACAGTTGATTCCCAGGAGCTTTCCAGAGGCTTTGGAGATCTTCCTTTGCTAACCAGGATGGACTGTGCCTCATAGGATATTATAACCTTGGAAAATTAGTAGCCATGGTTTAGACTGTTGAAAAATCTTCATCCATTTTTAGAGATGCTGGCAAGCTGAATGTGTTTGCATGTAGTTGGAGGATAATTAACGCTTTGTTTGCTAGCGTCCATAGACCATTTGTGTAGCAAATGCTTTCATCTCTTTGTGTATACCAGTACTCACCTCTCTAGCAAACATAAGCCATCTGTAGAGAGATGGAATTAAACCATGAGAAACAAGCTCTCTATTTTGATATGCAAGTCATTATGAGCCCTGGTATCCAAGAGCTGTCCCAAGAGTACGTGGCACAGTATAGTGCTACCATTTCATCTCACTAGTTGATGTAAATTCAGGCAAGCTGGGTTATTTATGCTGCAAGAATAGTTTGTTGAGGGTTTGGGTTTATTTTTTTAACCAAAACCTGGTTTTGTTTCTGGTCACTTAGTTATGCCAGCCATAAGATGTCCTCCTTAACACATCCAAGAATAGATGGGCAGAAACAGAAATTACTTGAATTGCTAGCATGCTTTTGGATTGCTTTCAGCACTAATCCAGTTCCTAAAAGGGAAGCAAATAAATTCAGCAGAGCATGATGACAAGAGTTACCCTGCCTGGCGAGCTAACAATCCACAGTGCGTAGGGAGCACAATTCCCAGGAAAGGCAAAGGTAAAATCAGAGTAAAGCTTTAGCCATGAGGGATGTTAGGCATGAGTTCAAGTAAGAGGGAAGGTGAGTGACAGGAAATGAAAAACAGTCGTTTCTAGTAATCACCAGAAAGTCTTCCTGTTTCTTTTTCTCTCGTGGCAGCTTCTTGGGCCATCTGCCTTGACTTCGATTGCTGTATTCCTTTTTCTTTTGCCTCTGAATTTCATCATCACCAAGAAGAGGAGTCAGTTTCAGGTACATTTTGCTTCATAAAAATGAAGTGGTTTACTGACTTGAATTATGCTAGGATACTACTTTTAATTCTAAATTAAAGGCTGCCATACTCTTCCAGGAAAGGATCATGGAACCCAAAGCTACTGATGAATACAGTAGACATGTTGGAGGGGGGGGGAAGGTAGTATTGTACTGAAGCATATCACTACATCTGACATCAAGTGATGGTTTAATATTTGTTACTCATGCTGGCCATGACTGGCTGAAGGAACATAGGAGGATCTGAAGCCTGCAAAGCTTCTTGAAATTTAGAGTAAGCTCTTGCATATTCAGTCTTTTACCTTTTTTGCCCACCTTTTCTGTGTTTTTTTTTTTATGTATTGCCAGTAAAAATAAAGCTCTGAATTTGAAAAACAAAGTATTTCCCAGCCTGGAAGATTCATAAGGAAAACAGTATACACAGCTCAACTGCAGGGAAATTTATTCAGAATTCATAGGCAGGAATAAGGTGTATTTTCAGAATAATTGTGCCATTAAACATTCAGCCTATTAAATTATAACACTCAAACATTTATTACAGGAGACTCAGATGAAACATAAAGATGAGCGGGCCAAACTCACAAATGCCATTCTCAGTGACATTAAAGTGATCAAACTGTACGGCTGGGAGAAAACCTTCATGGATAAAGTGCTTGGTATCCGGAAGCAAGAACTTCAGGCCCTAAAAAGATCTCAGATTCTCTTCTCAGCATCTCTAGCTTCTTTCCATTCATCAACTTTCCTGGTGAGTGGTTCACCTTCCTACATAAAACATGCTGTTACTTCCATTTCTCTTTGTACTCCTGTCTGGATAGATTTTTCCTGTGAGACAGCTAGAGGTAATGTCTGCCTGGAGGAGTTGGTGGTCTCACAGGAGTTGCTTCCCCCAGTGGAATCAGCCACACAGACATTTACACTGTCCTAACAGTTCCATAGCCAAGTTTCCTGGTCTGGCAGCATGCTCCAGGCAGACTGAGCCCGCTTTACATGACCTCAAGCTAGACAGAGTTCATGGCACAGTCAGTAGCTGCACAAGCCACTTTCGCACTTGCTGTTGCAGCTCAACCATATGTGTTTTCAATGGGAAATGGCTGTGTTTTCACCTTGCTGTGGTTGCAGCACCAAAGCTCCCTTAAAGCAGTACAGACCTCAAATGATCAGACTTGGTTTTGTCCTCAGCATGCAAGACTTTTGCCTGTGATATTTGCAGGATGGGTACCGCATATATGGGTCATAGCCTGGATTTAACTAAATGGGTTTAAGTCTTTAGGAAGGGGCCTGTCACCCTTGAACTATTCTCTTCCCAACCTGAAGCAAATGGTTTCTTTTCCTTTGCTGCCTTTCAGATTGCATTTGTCATGTTTGCTGTCTACACCCTGGTGAATAACACACATGTCCTGGATGCTCAGAAGGCCTTTGTATCTTTAACACTGATCAACATTCTCAACACTGCGCACTCCTTCCTGCCCTTCTCCATAAACGCTGTTGTCCAGGTTAACTGCAGGCTATGTTCCTTTTTCTTTGGGTATAAGTGGTTTTTTACATTTCACCATTAACAGATAAATGTAGGGATTTCTTAGGACTTTGAATGTCAGGGCTAGCTATTTAAGGTACTAAAGGTACTTTGTAGTATTGTTTTTCAGAAAGACTCCACATCGACAAAATAGTCACCAAGAACAACTCTTAAGTCTTTTGGAACCAATCACAAGGACCATTAGATCTCAGAGGTGCTTCCAGTTCTGTTTCTGATCACAGAGATCAGAATAGATGGAGCAAAATCTCCATGGGAGATCAGTGGAAACCCTGCTAGCCCAGGCCAGAGAGAAAAGCAAGTCATTGTCCAGTAAGAAACTGGGAAAATTGTACTTCCCTCTTGCACCCCAAGAAGACTGTCACAGTCTTCATGTACAGAAGCAAACACTGGAAAGATTGCAAGATGAATTGGAGAAAAAAGCACCAATTTTACTGGGTAGACAGATGATAAAATAGAGGGAAGAATATGGAGTTTTGCTAAGCTAAGTGGAAATAAAGGCAGTTAACATAAGGAAGAGCTGCATTTGTCCATCTAAGCCTAAGGCATCTGCAACATAGCACCCAGTCAACAGTATAAGGCTTCAGGTTGTCTTCACTTTGGGTTCTAGCTTCCTTTGTATTTTAGATCTTACTTTTTTCTCTACATCTTAATTTCAGGCCAAAGTTTCTTTAAACCGCTTAGCGGCTTTTCTGAATCTGGAAGAACTGAATCCTGAGAGCTCAAGCAGAAAAACTTCTGACTGTGGTGAGATTTTGTTAGAATTGTTGTTTTACAAGAGGAGTAGCTTCCATTGTACAGCTAACTTAAGGGAGAAAAGTATTTGCCCCTTACTATTACTTTATCTCCCCAGCCTATTTCTAACAATGAAATCTAATCTGGTAATTAACCCCTTCTTTTGATACTTAAGGTTTATTTTATGTAATATAAATACATACTGAAACATAAAGTCACATAAATAGGGATGTTTCTGTACCTACCTGTGAATTTATAAGTGTTCTATTTCTTGTCTTTAGTACAGGCAAGTATCACCATAAGAAATGGGACTTTTCGCTGGAGCAAAGAAACTTCTCCTTGTCTTAGAAGGTACAGACTTACCCTTAGTCATCTCAATTCTGTAGGTCAGGGTAGATGCTGAATGAACTAATTCCTCAGGGCCGCAGTGAAACCAGTATGGAATATTTAGAGGTTTCTGAGTTTGCTTCATATTTAATGCTGAATTCTGAAAATTATAAAGTCAGAGAAAATGTTATCTTGCCTTTATGCTTGGAAGCACGTGAATGGGAAGGTGCCTGTATCTGGATGCTGCCTTAATACATGGAAATTGCTTTCTTTACACAACTCTCTTCTCCAAATACTAAACTACAGTAATTTAAGTCAAAAAAGTAGAATTGATGGTGTACAGATATCATATATGACATCACGGCATGCTTATTTCAAAAGGCATTGCCATTTTAGAGAAGAAACAGTGTTGAACAGTTCTGATGTTCAGGAATGTTTTATATCTAGTGCTTTGGGCTAGCCTATCTCCAGAGTGGAGAACTGGGTCTTGGATCTGGGTTTGAAACTCAGATGGGGATGTGGATTAAGAATTTCTAGTCAGACGTATCTTTGAAGGGATGACTTGACTTCTGCTGCAAAAAGTCAGCATGACAAGAAGAGTAACCCTGTGCAGCTGAGGCCTTAAGTATGAAATTTGGGGGTTTACCTGGTACATTTGTACTGCCACAAAACAATAGCAAGAATTTTGGTCATTTTATTTTCAGGAAGTGTATCTAAAAGTTGATAAGAGACTGAACTTTTCTCTATAGAATAGATCTTACCGTGCCCCAAGGCTCCTTGCTTGCTGTAGTTGGCCAGGTGGGTGCTGGAAAGTCCTCCTTGCTGTCAGCGTTACTTGGTGAGCTAGAGAAGATGGATGGCTGCATGACCATGAAGGTAAATTTTGCCTTGAGGGTTTGCTTCTAATTTGGCTGTCTTCAGGAACAGTAAGGCATTAACCAAGGCATCAAGTACTTGATGAAAACCCATTGACTGCTGAATTTTAACAAAGGCTGTATGTAGCAGCCTGCATTTAATTATCTGAAGATAATTAAAGACCTCTTTAGATGAGCATGGCCCTTGGGAATGGGAACTGGAACAGGACTTCAAAGATCCAGTTTCATTTCCCAACCAACAGTGAACTGAAGTGGCATTGTGGTAAATCACATCACATACTTGCACCTGTTTCCCTCTCTATAAGATAATGGAAGTGCAGACTCATATTTTGCAAAGCCCTCTGAGACCTGTCAATGGTGATGATCATTCCAGATTTCTAGAAAACTAACTGGGAGAGCATTTCTTCAAAGACAGGTGCCCGCAGTGTCAAGTTGAGCTTATGAAAAAGATTGTTAACATTCTTCCACTTCCATTTCTGTAGGGCACTGCAGCTTATGTCCCCCAGCAAGCCTGGATACAGAATGCTTCAGTGGAAGATAATATTCTCTTTGGGAAAGAGATGAACGAAACATGGTTCAATAGAGTGATAGATGCTTGTGCACTGCAACCTGATTTGGAGAGCTTCCCTGCAGGGCGGAAGAGTGAAATAGGAGAGAAGGTACTGGCTTAGGTTTATATTTTTTCAATATAACTTTTCAATGAGTAGCTACAACTTTTGGTGTCCTCCTTAAAACACCTACAAAAGGACTAAACTTGCAGGAGGCAGGGTCTCAGTAATTTCTGAAAAGTCAGGCCATGATTTAACAGGGTCTGAAGCCCACCTCCTGACAGTTAACCTAACCAAAGATATGAAAGATGCTTAAGACAAAATCAACAAATCCAGGTCAGTTTGGGCCCTCTTCTGCAGGAGAGTGGAGTTGCTCAAGAGAATCTCCCTCTGCATCTCAAGAGCCCTATTTGGAGGGAGGGAGGGAGAGGTGAGAGAGGGGATGCACTGATTTAAAAATAAAGAAGTCATAAAACCTCAGTGTAAAATGGAGCCAACAGTTGGCAAATATGCTGTAGCTTTGGAATAAACAGTGTCAACACGTCTTTACAGGGAATAAATATATCTGGAGGGCAGAAGCAAAGAGTGAACCTTGCACGTGCTGTGTATCAGGTGGCTTCGATTTACCTTCTAGATGATCCCCTCTCAGCTGTTGATGCCCATGTTGGACAGCACATTTTTGAACATGTTCTTGGACCCAACGGCTTACTGAAGGACAAGGTGTGTTATAAATCCTGAACTGTAAAAGATTGAAAAATGTATCTAATTATCAGGGGCCCTGAAATATTCCAGTAAGGTGGGTTATTCACTTTATCAAAGGCTCCCAAATTCTTTTTTTGCTAGTGGCAGCAGGTGCAATACTGTTAACAACAGTGAAGTGGAATGAGTAACCTCTGCTGTCCACACACCACACAGAAGTCCTGCAGTGAATCTCACCTAGAAGGAAGAAGACTAAAAAGTTAGGTTCTCCTGAAAGACTGTCTTTATCCTCATGCAAACCACATGCTTAGTTCCAGCCTTACTTCTACAGCAAGTTTATTGTCCTTTGGCCTTCCATCAACATTGTCCTTCTCCCTTTTTGAGATTTAGTTCTAGTACAGTTAGGAAGAGCTGCCTGATCTCTTCCAGCTTATTGTATCTTATCATGTCTAATCCAATCACCACCTCATTGGTGCCTTTACAGTTCTGATCACCCAACTGTTCATCACTTAAAATTCAGCCTTAAAATCCATCTCAAACACTTCTCTTCCTTTTTTCTTTTGGCACTGATTGTGTTTTGTTACTCCTTGCTATTTCTCTGCTGTTAAGCCATGTGGATAATAAACGTGGTTACATGAGAAGGGATGCTAAGGCAGCTCTATTTGTTTCATGGTATAAACTGCATACAAGTACTTGATTCAGTTTTACGTTGTGGAAGGAAAATAGTCAATTTTTAATTAGAAAGTCCAATTAAAACAGACATATCTGATTACAAATGCCTTTCTCTTCATGTGTAGATTGGTTGCAAGTATCAGAATGTAATTATTGTATTTAAACATTGAAAGATGACAAAAAAAGCAGGTATCAGACTTAAGCAGTACTCAAAGGGCTTGATTGTATATTAGAAATATATAACATGCCCATTTATTATCTAGGGGAAAAATACTTTTCTTATGTCCTTTTCTACATGTAATTGTCTGTGCAAATATGCTCAGAAATAAAAATGGAGCTGCCCTCTTAACTCCACTCAGGGTGATGAAGTTTTCAGGTAAAAATTTGATTCTGAAATATTGATATCAGTGACAATAAATGCGACATACTCTTCAGTTAACATCATTCTACTTAAGAGCTTCAGCCTGAGGGGAATCAACAACATGGAACTGGTCAGTGAGCCAAGCAAAAGGTCCTGCTACACACAGGGTGCTAGCCTGGGACTTCCAGCCTCAGTTCCCATCCTCACTTTTTTATGCTCAATCAACAAACCAAGTTGATTTACCCCTCCACTCCCAAGTTCTGCACTTTCAAAATGGGCACAAAGCTGTGCTGCAAAGATAAACTTCAAAGAGACAGTCAGAAGTGATACGAATAAATAACAAAAATATCTCCAAGTTTGTACAAATTGTAGCTCACAGTGAGTACCTCTTTCTTCAGAAGACAGCTGACTACAACAGCTTGAGTGAGCAGGGAAACACCACAATTGTAACCGTTCCCTCCTTATTCAAGCAGACTCGTGTGCTGGTGACTCACACTATCAACATTTTGCCTCAAGTGGACAACATTGTTTTTCTGGTGGATGGAATGATCTCAGAAATTGGTTCCTACCAAGAACTTCTACAGAGAAATGGAGCCTTTGCAGAATTTCTTCATTCACACATTACTGCAGAAGAGAAGGCAGGCACTGGTTTTCCAGGTAACTTAAATGAGTCGGAGTAATTCTCACTAGGTCTATCAGTCAATTACTTCCTTAATATTATATTTAACATTAAAAAGCTGGGGGCAGAGGGGCAGGATCTGCTGCTGTTCACAGTTGGGAAAAGAGAATAAAACTGGAAAAGCTGGTCTTACATGTGTTTTGTTAGGGACGTTCAAAGCCAAGATCCAATCACAGTAAGCTGTCACTTTGTGTGGGGAAAAATATGCCTGTCACATTAGCTGACTCATCACTTCAAAATCAGTTTTGAATAAATAGTGCCATCTTAGCAGACAACAATCATGCAGATTTCAAACAGAAATTACAGAATTATGTGCTATTCTTCAAGCTTCACCTTGATATTTCTATCCTTAGAAACAATTTGGTGTAATGAATCTTTCCTCCATGTTACCAGACTCTCAAAGGCTACACAGGACAAAATGGGATTCTAAAGCATTTAGAAAAAAATGCATTTATTTCACAGCTATTGGAGACACCAAAGGCACCATCACCTCTAGAAATGGTCCATCACAGGAGAAGCTCTTTAGGTAAGCTTGAAGCTGCCTCAGACACTGAAGAACTTGCTCCAAAAGCCCACAGAAGCCTACATGGAGGCTCTTACTGAGGATGATAACAGGTTTGGCATTGATCTGTAAATTAATAAGAGCAAACAAGCAAAACTCACAAATAGGTAAGAAACTGTCCTTGAATGTGGAGGTTGACTAACATTTTCTCCTTATTTCACAAGGAGCCAGAATTTGTTCCAGAGCTCACATACAGGCATGTTGATACATGTTTGCTGTTCACTTCCCAGTGGGGCTGTAAGGTCTGACTCATTTCAAACCAGCCACAGCAAGTGAATGCTTTAAGCCTCTCATTGTTAATAGCCTGACCCAGTCCCTGTGATAAACATGGACAGTGGTTGTGGTCTGGAGGACACCAAAGACTGCAGCCCTCAAAATAGGCATGAATATAGGGGTGGATGGGTAAGGAGATCCAGCTTTAAAATACTCCTTGTCTTGGCTTAAAATTGAAAGGATTTCTGTTTTCTTTCTCAAGTGACCATTCAGTTAAATCTTCTGCTATGGGAAGGGAGACCATTCCTTTAAGTCAAGACTGTACCACTGCTGCAGCCACCAAAGGAAGATTAACCAAGGGAGAGCAAACTCAGCATGGCAGGGTAAGCACAGCACCTTCCCATAAAGGCAAAGACACATACTGTGGGTTTATTACTGACCCACTCGTGGCAGGTGGGTCACAGTGCAACACCAGGGAAGTCAGCTGAGCTGTACAAGTTTGCCTTATAATTGAGACAAAGTAATTTCAGCATTATTTTACATAGCACCTTCTATGCAAGTTGTATCTCCCTGGATGCTCTGACCTAAGCACTGGTTCCAAAAGAAGAATATTGCACACACATTGCAGAGAGCACATTACAGAAATGAGAGGGGAAAAAGAATAATTTGTGACCACTTGAGGAGAAAGATCCTGATTCAGGAGTTGGCCTGAAGGGGGGAAGCACACTGAGGCAATCAGGGTAAGGTGGTGGTAAGGGATAGAAGAGGATAGATTTTAAGGGACTGTATTCAGGGCACATTGTAGCAGCAGTAAGACGTGGGGAGAAAACAAACAGCTGAGGCTACACACTGGTACTGAGAAGAGACAAGAACAAGAAGTCAGACACCCCAAAGGAGGCAGCTCTTCCCCTAGGGAAGCACAATATGAGCCAGACTGGGATCTCCTCACCTCTGCCGATCAGCAGTTACTCAAGCAAGCAGTCAGTAGGATACATGATAGTTCTCACTCACACCAAGAACAAATGAAAACCACTGCCCAGCATGAGGAAAGCCCTATAGGCTCATGTTACTGCGTTCCAGCAGTAACATCAGCCTATTGCAATAACATTCATCAGTTGATAGTAATCAGTCATTGACACCATGGATTTACTTAAGTATGGCTTCATTGTTCATCCATGAGGAAAACAAAAAGTGGCCCATGACATATAACCAAGTAGATAAGCCATAATCATTCCTTGTTTTGGAGCTGCTTTTCCTTGCTAACAAGCTGGATCCTCCCAACCTCTCCTCTTTTTCCCCAATTGTTTCACTCTAGGTTAATACTTTGATTTATGCAGACTACCTGAAGGCGACAGGCTTACCACTGTGGGTGTACATCATTCTGCTGTTCACGTGTCAGCAAGCTGTGTCATTTTCTCGTGGTTACTGGCTCAGCATGTGGACAGATGACCCTGTCCACAACGGGACACAACAGCACACAGAGCTGAGAGTTGGAGTCTTTGGTGCACTAGGAGTCATTCAAGGTTTGTTTAACTTGCTCACCTAATTCTTCTCTGTATTTCCATCTCCCTTTCCCATATCCGGGATGTTTTCCCAGAACATAAACAAGTGCGTATCCATGGGCCCTTAGCCTCCTAGACATTTGGCACCAGCCCTAAAGGTTTGGCATGGGACCTAAAACTACAGGCTTTCATACACAGAGAGGATTTCTAAGGGATCTGAAAAATATTTCCAGTGTTACTGCCTGAAGTTCTACTTCATGATATGCTAGAAGTGTTCTTCCTCTATATTTCCTGCTGGAACTAAATGACTTGAACCCCTAAAATCATTCAGCAATGGAAGAACTACAACATCCTTATTTTTCTCTCTGGCCCCTTTATCCAACATCTTCTGCATAACTTTCTTCCTCTTAGGTCTTTCCATTCCTCCAATATAAATTAATCCTATCAAAGTGCAAGCAGAGGCTCTTCTCCATGCTGAATTAAATCTTGGTTTAGGTCTTTTGAGTGTAAAGAGAGAGAAAAACAGGAACTTGTGGAATTCTACATTTCTTTAAATCTTTCTCTTTAAAAACAGCCACAATTCTTTTGGTCAGTCTTAAAAAAAAACCCAAAACCAAAACAACCCACAACAAACCGACAAAAAAAAAAACAACAACCAACCAACAAAAAAAAAATACAACTTGTTTTAGGACAGAAATCTGGAAAAACCTCAGCCCAAGTGACAAAAGACTAAGAAAGCTTTGAACAAGTTGAAAAGAGTGGGAAGGGTTGGTCACTTCTGTGCTAACAGTGAATCTATAGGCAGGAAATCTAAGACTGAGTAAGTCAAAGTAATCCCAGTCAAGCTCATTTTGTGAAGAGTAAAGAATTTGTCCTGTGTGTTTAAGCTGCAGAATCTGTGGCCCCCATCAAGCTTGCTTAGAAGGTCTCCCACCCCTCTGTAACTACCCTACAGAAATGGTAGTTTACCTTGCAGGACTGAGGCTCAGCTTAACTGCTACCCAAGAGAAAGTCAGCTCCTTTCACTAGTACAGCATTCACAGTACTAACTGAAAGTCACTATCTTGCAAAGAACTCCAAGGTGAGTTTGGTCAGATGTAGTAATAATTACTTTTTTTATATTACAGCTCTTAGCAGATTTGCCTCCACAGCAGCAGTCCTTCTAGGTGGCGTGTTAGCATCGCACAAGCTCTTTCTGCAGTTGCTGAGGAACGTTGTTAGATCCCCAATGGTCTTCTTTGAGCAAACACCCATTGGAAACTTGCTGAACCGCTTCTCCAGAGACATGGATGCTATTGACTCCGTCATCCCTGACAAGCTGAAGTCCTTGCTGGGATTCTTGTTCAACTTGCTGGAGATCTACCTTGTGATTATAGTGGCTACACCAAGGGCAGCAATGGCCATAGTGCCCTTGACTGTTCTTTATGCTGCATTCCAGGTAGGAGCTCAGAGATACCCAGACAGGAGAGACTCTGAAACATCAAATGCTTTTCCAGCTAAGACTGAACATGAGGGAAGGGCAAGCAAGGGTGCAAATAAGCCTCTTCTCCATCAAGCAAAGGGCTGGTCCATGGGAGAAACTAGGTGTGAGTTCAGAGGCTGTGTGAGTTCAGAGCACCCTGGCTTCTTTGCATTAACTAACCACGAGTTTATTCTTAATGAAGATAGCCCATAATACAGGCATAAACGCTGCCTCACCTTTTAAGGGCATCTCCTACCTGCACATTATGTTTTATAACACTAGGATAATATGTACTATTGCACTTGTTGAGGCCTTCCCAAACTTTCTGTGGAGCACCTCCATGGAGGCATAAACCTTCTAATCACTTCCTCTCTCATCTCCCTTTGTACCAGCACTTCTACGTCATCACCTCCTGCCAGCTGAGACGCATAGAGGCTGCCAGGAGGTCACCCATCTACTCCCACATTTCAGAAACTTTCCAAGGGAGCAGTGTGATCCGTGCTTACAAGGACCAGGAGAGGTTTATTTTGAAGAGCAATTTTCTAGTGGATGAGAATCAATGCATATGCTTCCCTGGAGCAGTTGCTGACAGGTACACATCAGCAGTGTCAAGAAAACGACAGCTTACTCTCAAAGCCTTGGCAAGTGGAGATAGCTGCTCAAGGGGCTTGGGTGGAGATACACAGAAGATGAGACAGTGGTGCACAGTGTTTTGAGGGTAGGGTGGCCTCTTTCATTACCACTTGCACTGTGTCCCTCTCTGGCAATATCATCCCCACACAACCAATATGCTCCCATCTCTATTGTGGGGCTAGGCACACACACATGCTGACACACTGCTAGAGGTACCACTTGGTGTCCCAAATGCAGGAAGCTGTAGTACATGCCTGGTGAGGCCAGTCAGCACATGACAAGAGTGCATGACAACATAGCTCAGACAACAGAGCCATCAGCCACCAGTCATGAAAAAAGTGAGGACTGCCAGAAGGAGTGAGAGATGTTAGACTAACTCATCCAAGAAACTCTGCCGGCTGCGCTCATCCTATCGGCCTTGGAGAAAATCCTAACAGAGACCATAAGCCAATGAGTTTGGACAGACTGGATCCATTCGTGAGCTCCAAAGTGGCTGGATAAAGACCAGGGCATGACAAGAGCTTTGTTGAGTATCCTGCAGTCCAGCAGCTCCACTAGTGTTTTGCAAAGCAATCACAGATTCTGTTTGGAGAAAGGAAGAGGGCAGCCAGCAACAGCCCTGGACTCTTCTCTTGCAGGTGGCTTGCTACAAACCTGGAGTTTCTAGGCAATGGCATTGTGTTGTTCGCAGCACTGTTTGCAACAATGGGCAGAACACATCTTAGTCCAGGAGCTGCTGGCTTCTCCATTTCATATGCTCTTCAGGTAACTCAGCATTGAAGTAATGCTGTGCTTGCCTTTCATCAAAAGCAACTTGCATTTTAATTTCTGCTACCATGTTAATTTCTAAGAAATGATGAACTATTTCCATGGCTTTCTAGATCCCTTCTCCTACCAAACCCTGTTGTCACTGCTGAAACCCAGAGCATCTGGAGTACATGGTTATTTTTTAGCCTTTTAAGGGATGATTCCTCAAGTAATTAGCTGATGAGGAAGCCTTTATAAATAAACACTAAGATAAAGTACCAGGTACTTCACAAGCACAGGTCAAGACTCACTTTATCTGCCCGAATGCTTCTGTTTCTTTCTGCTAGATAACTGGTGTTCTGAACTGGATGGTGCGGTCCTGGACAGAAATAGAGAACAACATTGTTTCTGTGGAGAGAGTGAGGGAATACTTAAGGACTCCTAAGGAGGTAGGTAACCAACTACTGACCTTACAAGCAGAGGTGAACATCTCTGCAAACTAAACAAGTAACTTTCCTGTTCCACCTGGACAAACCCCCTAGTTTTCCCCTTCTAAAAGGCCAGTTATGTTTCCTTTAAAGAACTGCAGCATTTTGTTTTTATCCAACTGACTAGACTTGGTTTTTTTTAACCTCTCATCATCATCATTTCCTTGAGACAGTTAAGCGTTAGATTGCCATTAAAATAGCTTCACTTGGTAACACTCATGGAATGAGCCATGTTTTCTGCCCATATTTGGAGTATGTATTTATTGTGCGAGTTCAGATGCAACTCTCTGATAACTGATGGCTGCTAGATAGCCTTTTAGCCACTGAAAGTCTCCAATGCAGAACAAAATGCAATCATTTTTGTTCTGCAGTCATTAAAATTATTTCTCCATACGCTGCCTTGAGATCCTACCAAAGGAGACTTTCACAGTCCTGTTTATAGGGGCACATAAATCATTTTTATTGGACCACTCATAATGTCAGAACTCTGACATGCAAACAAATGTTTATCCCCATTTTTAGTCAAGACAATTGGCATCTTTGCATAAAGCAAAAAGTCAACATTTGCAATAGCAAAGTTAGAGGCCTTTTTCCCTTTGGAAACAGTAAATAGATCAGGGGAATTTGGCACAGATGTTTTCATAAGCTTCCCATTTCAGTACGGCCACTTGATTTGGTAATTTAAATCAGCTTTATACCTTGCTGTTTGTTTTCATCTGTTTAGGCACCCTGGACTCTGGATGGCAAACTTCACAGTCAGGGCTGGCTCACGGAAGGAAGAATTGAATTTAGAAACTATAGTTTGCGATACAGGCCAGATTTGGAGCTAGCACTGAAGAACATCAATCTAACCATCAATGGGCAAGAGAAGGTAAGCAAAGCCACTGGTTTCAGAAGAGCTACAGAGTGTGAGCAGTGCTTCGCAGTGATCAGATCTGGGCTGATACAATCCCTGCCCTACACCAAGGTGTAGTAAGTAACTTGTAAGTGGGAAAGTTTCAGTAAGGTATGAGCCCATCTATCGCCCTGCACGCCTCTTCTAGTACAAAGTAGCATTTCCAGGATTGCTGCATACTCTAGACATTCTTCTGAGTGAAATTTCTTTCCACAGAAGGTTAGCAGAGTTACAGCACTTCTAAAATAAAATCTAGTGCCACATCAAGGCCCTGGTCTAGCTGGTAGGTCTTGTAGTTATTCTTCTCAAAGACTTTCAAGATTCCTTTTCATACAAAACAATTACAAATTATAAATTATTCCCTTTAAGAATGTATTGCTAGACTATGTGAATCTTCAACAGCCCTGAAGGTCTGATCCATGCGAAGCTGTCTCTCTTCAAAAGACCAAGAGGAATTACATGATAGATCTGCCCAACTGTAGAAAATGATCAACATCAAAGCCAAAAGCTTTCCACTGCACTTTACAGATTGGCATAACCGGAAGAACAGGAGCTGGGAAATCTACTCTTGCTGTGGGCTTGTTGCGATTAGTGGAAGCTGCGGAAGGAGCGATCCTAATTGATGGAGTAGATATTACTCAACTAGGTCTCCATGACCTTAGAACCAAGATAACTGTCATTCCCCAGGTATGAAATTAATTTCCAAAATGCTTCAGCAGTGTTGTAAGGCTTAATGCCTTAAACAAGTTTAAAAAGATTCTGTGAGAGGAGGGACATTAAGAAATGTCGAAGTTGCAAATAACCCCCATGCCATGCTAGTCTCCCATTCCATGTATCATTAGCCACAGATTTGCACCCAGCAGGGAAAACCAGAGAGCTCATTCTTACAGTTCATTTCAGGAGTTGTTTGTATTGTCTCTGTGCTTAGGATCCAGTTCTGTTTTCTGGCTCTCTAAGAATGAATCTCGACCCATTAAACCGATACACTGATGCAGACATCTGGACGGCTTTGGAACTGACTCAGCTCAAGAACTTTGTTGCAGATTTGCCAGATCAGTTGGAATATAAGTGCACTGACCAAGGGGAAAACCTGAGGTACCTTATCTGCAGAAAGACAGTAGCAGGGCAGTGCCAGCCCATGGGCTAGGAGAACATAGAGCTAGTGGGAAAAGGAGTCTAGTTAATTAAAATAAAGAAAAAAAAAGTGCCCAGATAGCAAATTGCTGCATCATAGTCCTGTTTAGCAGCATGAAATCAAATCAAATCAAAAGACACCAAGTGGAAGACCTTTGAGACTTAATCATTGTGGTGGCTTGTGTCTGTGCAGTACTTAGAACACTGGAATCCTGTTCCAAGGGCAGATCTCCTGGGTGCTATAGTAATAAACTTCCTTCACTTCCTTAGATTGTTTCATCCTGTTACCTGCAGTGCCACCAGCCTCAAATCCTCCTTTCAGGGAAGGGAACAATCACCTTTTCATTACTATTTTCAAATATAACATGTTTTCCGACCCCAGGGAAAAGTGACTTTACCATCCCTCTTCTTACTTGCAGCACTGGTCAGAAACAGCTGGTTTGTCTGGCCAGAGCACTTCTCCAGAAAGCCAAAATCCTCATTCTAGATGAGGCCACAGGAGCAGTAGATTTAGAAACTGATCTCCAGATTCAGTCCACCCTGAAGATGCAGTTCAAAGACAGCACAGTGTTAACAATAGCTCACCGGATAAACACCGTCATGGACTGCGACAGGTAATACCTTCAGCCTCTTTCCTAAGGAGGAAGGAAGCCACAGGCAGCCTGTGGGAACTGGACAAACCACACGGTGTTAGTGAACAGCAATTTAATTTCTGTCCTTTTCTTGTTTAACCCTCAGAGCTTCGTTTTAGAGACTGTAGGAGCTGTCTTATATCAGACAGGCACTGATGGGTTAATTGAAGATAATCTATTCCCACATGATGCATTTCATGCTGTGTCATCCCCCGTTCCCCCCCCCGACAGCAAATCCATGGCTACAGCTCTTCATCTTAAAATCGTGAAGCCAAAATACACATTCACAAATCTTACTCGTCTCGGTTGCCAAAAAAACTCTCCTCCCACAAACTCAGTACTTCAATAGTCACTCATCTGAAATCTGTTTTTATCCCACAGATGTTTCCCAGCTGAAAAGCTGCTAGAAAACTTGGTTGAATAACAAATATTGAAATTTATTTTAGAAATAAGTAGAAATAACTAAGGTTATTAGAGCTGCTGGTGTATCCCCAAGCTTACACTTCTGTTTTAATGTTCACAGGATTTTAGTCTTGGAAAATGGTCAGATAGCTGAATTTGATACTCTGGAACACTTAATAGCTCAGAAGGGACTGTTCTACAGACTGATGGAAGAATCGGGCCTCGCGTGACTCACTCACACAGTATGCCATAATGTTACCACTATCAGGAATAATTCATCTCATAATTGAGTTATCTTGGTTTCACTATAAAACGCCTGACACTCAACCAAATCTTGTTGGAGCTATAACTGCAGTGAATAGATGAAAAGAGATGACTTGGGATATGTTATTTCTGCAGGAAACTTAGCAATTCCATTTTCATTATGCTTCCAGATACCAAAACCTCACTCTGCTATTGAAAATGAGACAGTCAGAACTTAAAACGCCTTGCTGCTTTTAAAGCAACATATATAAAAAAGCAAACAAGCCAAAAGAAAAAGACCACAGCATTTCTGATTTATGCTGCAAGTGAAGCTCAAATATACTGCCATACATAAACAGATTATTTTTAAAAACCAACACAATTTTATGGACAGCAAGCAAGAATTTAACTAGTAGCAAGCAAATGTAACTGTTTACAGCTTGTCCCAAGTTCCAGGCAGAACAAATTTAGTCTTTTACCAGTGTCTTAAGGACTGCTCACCTGAGCACTGTTCTTACACAGATGTGGTGAACTCCAAGACAGAGGCTGGATCTGGTCACCCCAAGTGCACAGACACTGGGCGAGTAGGGAAGAGGCAGTGGGATGCTGCTAAGCACGAGAGCATACGGCTGCCTGGGGGCTGCCTGCTGTCGCAGCTGGGGATCAGATCCACTCCATCTCCTTCCGTGTCAGCTCTGGAGGGGCCCCAAGTCAATCAGGCTGTGCAGAGAGCTGACAGGCTGCCTGGAGGAAGAAATCCAGCTTAGATACCAGCTCACTGATGCAAGAGAGAGTAACCTGGCAGGAAGTGGACAGCAGAGCATCATTCCATCTGCACTGGTTGGTCACAGCAGAGCATGTCCAAATGCTGACGCCAACATTTCCAAATTGAATTTGGCCCCAAGGAATTTGCGTGGTGGAAAGTGTCCTCTGATCCCTGCAGCATGGCAGTCCGGCAGATGGGGAAAGCAGCAGGACTCACCTGTTGACCTGGTTGTTCATTACTGGTTTTCTTACTGAGTGCAAGTTTACTTCCTGCAGGTGCCACCCTGGTGCCACCGAGCCTCTGACGTGGTTCTTTCAAATGTTACTTAAACCAAAATGGCAGCTGAAAGTAAAGCCTTCCCGGGCTTCCCGCAGTGCCGAGGAGCTGCGGTCACAGCTGTCCCCAGGTCTCTCCTCAGGAATCACAAGACGGCAATGTGACAAACAAACCACACTGCAAGATACTGCTGTTTACTGTGACTTCTGTTAAAGCTCTTAATATATAGAAAGCTGAAATAAAAATAGAATCAAGTATTGAAATGGCTCTCTTCTGTAAACTAAAGTAAATACAGTATAAAAAGGAGTTATGGGGGAGGGGATGGGAGAGTTCAAACTGGCAAGAGTCAACCCAGACCAGCAAAACCCATGTTAACAGCAGTTAACAGTTTCTGCTGGCCAAGTGCCTAAGACATCCAAGCCCAACATCTGCTGCCATACTGCTGCTCAAATACCAGGAAAGAGGCAATTTTTCCCTCTACTTTCTCCAAACCTTACTCAAGGGCAGAGACAAAAAACAAAAATCAGTTACAAGTTATGAGCACTCTAAAGGTTTATCAATGGATCTCAAAACCAGGAGCATTTAGAACTAGTGAGATAAGTGTTAGGTATTTTTTCTTTTTAGCTGAGGTAAAAGAGAAACAGAAGCGCTCATGTTGCTGGGTAATTCTGAAACAGACATCATCTACCATAATCTCCGATAGAAACATCTTTTACATGCTTGCTTTCCCTTCCTAAGTTGGTAGTGAAGAGAGAAGGCACCAGAAGGAGAAAATAATCCAAACATTCACGCTGATAATCTCTGAAAGGGCACAGTTTTCCTGTTGGCTTGCACAAAGTAAGAGCAAGCAAAAATATCATCAACTTTCACAAGTCAAGCTGTGCTGAAAGGGCAAGAAAAGGGATTCCAAAAATTACACATGACAAAACCTCCCGTGTTTCAGAAGAGACAGAGTCCCCAGTTTGATGTCCAAGCAGCACTGTAAGTAAGTGACAAATCAGGAGTCAAGTCTCACAAAAAAGGTAACAGTCATCACAAGGAAGTTATCTGGCCGTTGGTTAAAGCAAAATATATAAAGAAGTTAACACTTGGAGATACCATCCTCTCTTGAAAATCTGGTTTGAGGAACAGCAAGTGGTGTTTAAAAGGACAGGTCTGCTGGGTCTTTGCAAAGGTACTTCCTAGGTTAGACTATCTGACAGAATCACGCAGTTAGCGCAGGAGGTAACTGCAGCAGGCTCGGCACTGTGCTAGCAGCTTATTTCCTAAGTTGCTCTGAAAAAATTTTAAATATTAAGAAATAAAAGTCTGTCCCAACACCTCCGTTAATCCAAATGTTTAGAGCTGATCAGGAGCACCTGGACTTGCCCTGGCTACACTTCTGAGCGTCCTACTCCAGCAGGGGGATTGGACTAGATGATCTTTCGAGGTCCCTTCCAATCCCTGACATTCTGTGATTCTGTGATTAAATTTTTAATCACTGTTTTGCAGTGTAAGTGCAACATACACAGAGCAGCCGTGTTAAGCTCATTGGTAGCTACACACTGAAAGTCCAAATAAAACCCACTCATCTAAAGGGGGTTTATTGACATCTTAGTGGCTTTCCAACTCTGTTTTTCTCTTTGGAACAAACTTTTCACAAAATACACATAACTAGCCAGCAATGCAGCTAAAAAGATTTCTGTTTTTTTCTGCTGATCTAAATGACATTGAGCCATCTTTATGCCTCCCTAAAAAAAAGGGGGGGAGGGAAACAGGACACCCATGGAGCTAGGCTTCCACATGCTCTGTAGGAATTGAGAACCTACCCACTTACAGAAGCGCAATACTACCAGTTACAAAGATCCTCCCAGTGGGCAGATCATTACCTCTTCACCAGGAGGGAACGTGGAGGAGAACAGGATGAACACAGGCCATGCCACAGCAAAACACGTCAGGGAAACCCTGCTCTGCAGCAGCTGGGTGAAGGTGCCCAGCTCACGTCTTTCCCAAGGACTAAGCTGCTCGTTGCCATACATGCTCCCAGTGCAGTCCCCACCTCCTGTCCCAGATGCCATCTTCCAGAGCAGGCATTAGTTCTGCTGCATAAAGGAAAGTATGTGACATCAAGGTATTCAAAGAAAATAAGTGTCTGCTGCACGATTCTGAGCTCAGCTACTGGAACTGAATGTCACACCCCTGAGTTTACCAGGGCTTCCCACCCCTCTCAACAGCCGGAGGGAAGGCTCATCACCCTGGGCTGTAAGATCCCTGATCCCTGCTGGATGGCACCAGACTCTCCTGTAGCGCTGGTCGCATGTCATCAGGCTAGATTTCACTGACCCAGAAGTGCCGAACGTGTCCCAAGTACTAATAAGCTTTACATCCAAACACATACACAAGAACTAAAACAGATTAAATACGGAAAATCTACTGGTTTAAATCCAGATTCTAAGACCTTACCTTGCAGCAAGTTGTATCATTTTCTGCAATTGGTCCCAGTAACACTGCATGCAGGGATCAGCACGCAGCCCTCTCCTTCCCAGCTCAAACAGGCTCTCACAGCCATACCGCTCCTACCTGAAGGTACCTCGAGTATCTGTATGACACTGCTCTTACACACAGGTTCTGTGGGAAGAAAGCTGCATTTGTTCAGCTAGCTCTGTGTGCAGTTAGGTTAGTTCAGACTGATCCTCATCATGCATAATACAATTTTGTTCAAGTTGCATCCAGACACAATATTCATCATTTTTACGAGGACAGACATTTAGAATCAGGATCATGAATCAATGCAGCAACAGCACAAAGCACTGACAGGTCCTTAGGGCAAACAGAAAAGAGCATCTACTCCAGAGCTGGGGCAGAACAGTTTGTGCTAGCACGTGTATAAATACATAAAACTGGGAGAACACAATGAGGCACATTAATAACCAAATCACTGAAAAAGAACAAGACTGAAGCACACACAGAGCCGTCTTCCGACCCCCTGCTGCACTGCTTAGGTTATCCTGCAAAATACAGCATTTTGGACACACAGTTCCCCAAATTATCACAAACAGCCCATGAATAAGACAGAGAACATCCAGTGACACTTTCCAGCATACTCAGTTTGAGATTGCAAATGCAGTTTAAGTCACACAGACAACTCCACTGCAAACATTTTACACAGCAGAAGCATAATTCTGCAGGTTTTGTATTTCAAACAAACCATGCTTCTAAGTGCAGTTGTTTTCAAAGGACTTTGATGAATATGTTAAGGCTTGTAAATCTCTGTTACTCCGTGTGCAATGGAAAGCATTGCTTCCTCAAATCTGAAATCAGTTTCTACCAAACTAAGGACTCAAGCAATACAACTTCCTTTGAATTAAATCCCAAACCTGTAGAGTATTTGCAGAGTCCCCATCTCAGTAACGAGCTGCACTAAACCCACGAGGCTTTTCAAAAGTATTTGAAATCATGTCCGAATTTCTTCACTAGATGTTCTCCACAGCTTTGCCTTAAGGAAAGTGCTGATGATAATTAGTTTGCACAGGCAAGAAGAGAGCACAGGGAGCTTTACTCTCTGGTTGTCCAATGCCCTTCTCCCCTTTCCTTCCCAGGGCTCGCCCAGGAAGGGGCAGAAGGGGAAGGATCACGAAGCGTTCCTGGAGGATGACTGTCCCCAAGCAGGAAAGGTCTCATGGCAGTGTTCACAGTTCCTCCTCTGGGTCTCCTCTTCAGATAGATCTGTCTCCATTTTAATGCAGCTGAATAAAGCAATACCAGCCACGCACCTTACCTGACAAGCTCATTTCCCTGTTCTATACTCAGTTCCTTACTAACCATTTGCTCCAGTCTTTCCACCCTTCTGTCCATTGCAGTGCTGCATAAGCATTAGGTGATTTGAGAAACCAAAACCCACTGCTCCTTCCCAGACTCCCAAATCACCCCTTGCCTATTCCATTTCCACAGAGGAAGTTAACACCAAGCTGCCCAGGAAATGTGTCACACAGGCCACAGACACCATGGGTACGACAAAGGTCCACAGCACCGCTGAATCCTGCTCTGCTCAAACTGCAGTACTCAAATCACACGAGAAACCATGAGAGGTGAGCCAGCCCTACCACAGCACACCGTTATTTGCACTTAAGGTTTTATTACTCATACTAACAGCTCCCCAGACATCAGGCCTAATAGCGTGCACAGACTAAGCAGTATCAATAATTTCTATTTTCAGGGCAAAAAACCTGAACTGCCAAAGCTTACTCTTTGTCAAATAGAAAGCAAGAAATGACACAACATGTTATCTTTCAAACTTTTTTTTTACTGCAAGTTCTTTGCAAATATTTGTATAGTCATTACAAAAAATACCAAAGAAAATTTCAGTCTATTCAATTTCAGAGAGTCATAATTTACAAAAAAATAAATAGCTTTACTCTAAAGAAGATAATTGTCTAGTATTAATGTCAGCAATATCATTCACAGAAGTCCACATTCTCAGAGTGCTGAGTATTGCATCCATCTGACTTAAGTTTGCCTTCTTCCAGCATGTTCCTTTAAAATAAGACTAATCCGAACATGAGAAAAGTAACTTTTTTCTTCCCACAGAAAACTGAACATTCAACATTGATCTTGAAAACCAGACTCCATTGCTAACTAAATTGTTAGACCCCTCTGACACAGAACTTTAAAAACAGTAAAACTTTTTTTTTTTTTTTTAAACAACTGTAACAGAACAGTTTCCCACAAAACTTAAGAGTCAACAGCACCAGCAAGAAGGGCATGTTTCTTTGATATAAGGCTAATGGTCCTTGATATGGCAGAGCTTCTATTAAAGCACAGATTTGCCAAAGCCAAGGGTATTACAATCAATGTCATGCTGAGCCTACAACCTCTGCTCAGGCAGGAGCTCCTCACTTCTCAGCCCACTCCCCACAGGTGTAACCAGGATTCACCATCCAAGTCAGAATTCCTGAGTGAACTAGGTGTTAGATCAGGTACTGCACACTGCAACATGCCAACTGCTGCACGAATTTGGTTTTGGAGTGATTGTCATTCCAGACATGCTTAAATACTGCTTTGAACTTGACCGTGCTTTTTCACATCAGCATTACTGACCCACTATAGTGAACTTGCTGCTATACGCTGTAAACACATGAAATCTTTAGGAGAATGCATAAAAGCATTAACCTTGTACAGTAAATGCCATAATGAGAAAGTCTGGCACACACGTTATTTCACAAGAAGAAAAATCTTTGGACTATAGTACTATATGCCACAAAATGTTCCAAGTGCATCCCACGATAGATGGTTCATCAAACGAGGAATCAGCAAACAAGCAAATAACTAGCATTTGCAAAAATGTTTTAAACAAAAAAAGAGAGGGCTTCAGAACATAAGAGCCAATGAAAAGAAGAAGCTTTTCTGAACTTCTCTGATGAATCGCTCTGCCTTACATTTGAGCATGTAATGGCAGATTTCAGGCAAAAATTAAAAGTCTCTCAAGTGTTTTGCACAGTGTATGTGCTTCTCCTCAAGCTGGCTAAAATCAGTATTAAGGAGAATAAAAAAAAAGAAACAAAATTGCATTTTTACGTTACTCCCATCACCGTGCTCTGACGGACTTCACTAGGTCTGAAAGTGAACTGTAGGGTTCACACCAACTCAGTGAAGTTACAGTTGTCTGAATGTATCACCTCCCTCTCCCCTGCACAAACTAACCAAGTTCAAATGCTACACCAAGCCTGAATCTTTGGCCATGCTATAGAAAATGCCTTTTTCCTGAAGTAGATGGTCTGGGCTGCCACACTCCACCACTTCTCCTCTGTCCAGGACTAAAACTCTGTAAAAAAAGAGGAAAAAAAAAAAAAAGAAAATGGTCACAAGAAGATCCAGAAAGGCAATGAACACAGCTGTACATTTACAGACACTGACGCAGCACAGCCATTATATGCCAGTGAACAGTCCAGGCTGTAGGGATGGACAGAGTCTCAGCTCTGCCCTTTCTGACCTCATTGCAGATGGTCTGTCTGGTCTACCAAAGCACAAAGAAATCATCACTGGTCACTTTGCTCTCTGCCATTCTGTGATAAAAAGGACGAGAGAGCTTAAAACTGAAAATATAAGACAACTCCTCTGTCCTCAATCACATCTTAGCAAAGCAGCTGAGGACGAGAGAGGCCATATGAACTATGACCAAAAGCGATGGAAAAAGAAACGTCAAATGAACTTCAGGCAAGCACAGGACCTGCCCCTTTTATTCCTTATGCTGTCTATGCCTAGTTTAGGATATGATCTCCCTAAAGCTCTGCTGCCTGTTCCAGCTGTGCATAAACAAGGGCAACACCCAGGAACAGACTCCTACCCTCACCTCCCACCCCTTCCCGGTCTGCCCAGGCAGGAATGGCACAAGAGCAGTGTGACAGAGATCAGAGCTGCTCCCCAGGCCAAGCACAGCCGCTGCAAGCCAGAACACACACTCCACCCATCAAAAGGGGGATTCCATCAGCTCTGCAGAGAGGTGGCTAAAAATGCACTGGTAAACATTTAGCTAACACAAAGATGCTCATTAAAGTAGGGCACAGTGCAGGTCACACATGCCATTCTTCAAGATAAAAGTGGTATTATTTACCTTGTGTAGTCCATGATTGTGTTCAGACGATGTGCTATAGTTAATACAGTACATTCTTCAAATTGAGACTTTATTGTTGACTGTATAAGCTGATCTGTTTCAAGATCAACAGCAGCTGTGGCTTCATCTAGAACCAGGATTTTGGATTTCCTGAGCAGAGCTCGTGCCAGGCACACCAGCTGGCGCTGTCCCACACTACACAGATGGGATGGGAGGGTAGGGAAAAAAGTCAGAACAAGTTTGCAGTGTTCGTTTTGAAGCCCAGCAACTCCTTGTAAGAACTGTTCTAAAGTACAGGTGCCAAGAATCCAGTGAAATAGATAAGGTCAGTCTTACTACTTCTCTGCAGAGTACCTAACAGCATCTGAAACAACACCCTCCTCACAGTAAAGTCTTGGCAACATAATTAAGAGAAGACATTACAAATGGTTTCAGCATAACTGCATCAATACAGTGTTGAGGACTAGACTCTAAATGGTTTCTACAGACCAAACATATATCCCTGTTATGGTGCAAAAAGAAAGCTAACAATTCCCTTAGCAAAACCGCACTTGTTGGGCAAAAGCCAGGATAAGGTCAGAGCATCCACTATAAATAGCAGGCTGCTACTACTAAAATCCTTTCTAAGGCTGTCCAAGCTGTCAAACCCCGCAGCATTCAGAGCATTTCTTAAACTACTTTTAATTCCTAAACTTGAAAGTTTAAAACAGGTTGAATAAAACCTAGTTGGTTGGTCATGTATTAAGAATTCCCCAACTCCCTCCCAATTATTCAGAGCTGGGGGGAGCCCCACACTGCAATTGCTATTGCTAGGATCTAGCTACGTACTGTCCCAAGTGAGCTGTAAGGTTTCTGGAAGCAGAAAGTCTAGTTGCAGATGGGAGGGCACACACACCCCTCTCAGTTCTCATTTAGTTCTCAAGGCAACTTTCACAAGCACGGCTCTCTGACATACCTGAGGTTCTCTCCACCTTCAGCACACTCATGATTAAGTTTATCAGGAAGGGATGATACAAAGTTTTTCAGGTGAGCCAATTCCAAAGACCTCCAAATGTCTTCATCAGAGTGTTGGTCAAAAGGATCAAGATTCATACGCAGAGAGCCAGAAAACAATACTGGATCCTAGTCATAGGAAGAGGTAACTGACAATGTACACAGAACACAGCAAGTGCTCCACCATATTTCTTAGACAGTGAAAGGAAAACAACATGTTCAGATGCAGTCGCAAGCAAGCTCATCTACTGAATTCAGGAACAAGTCCTCACTTTTTCCAGTAACAGCAAGTTATTCTCCCTCTCCCTTATTCCTTATGCCTCCTGGGGGCCTGACCTCTGCCGACTTTGGCATTCCAGACCTTTCCATGAGTCAGTAATTCACTAACTGGGGGGAAAGGGGGGATGAGCGGTGGGGGAACACCACCAAAAAACCACCACAAAACACACACACACACAAAACTCAAACAACAACTATCCAACAAACAGAAATAACTTTTTACTGGGCTACTAAGTTAAAGAACAGGCACTCCCTGCCCAGCCTTCTGTCAGCAGGGACTAATAGGTCAACTTTCCACTTCTTATGAAATTACACCATTTGTAAATATTTCCGAATTCTTCAGCTGCAGTATTAACAATATCAGTGCTGCTTTTTTTTTTTTTTTTTTTTTTGACATGCAGAAATACTGCTTTGGAAATACTTTTGTCCTAGTAGTATCAGACTGATGCAAAGTGATCAAAAGGAGAAAGCAAAGTCCCACCCAGATTTTCAAAAGAAGTGGTGCAAAAAACCTTTTACAGTATGTTCACTTGTTTTTGCTAGTGTGCTGCAACAGTGATTTTATAACCACATTTTATGGTCTTACTTTGAACCAGAACAGGCAGACAATAAAGGCTACACAGTAAGAACAAGAAGACTTGAGACTAAGTCCAGTGCTTGTAAAGCCATATTTCCAAATGTTTTGGACTATCAAACCCACAGATGCTGGGCTAGACTGGGGTGGTTGTGTACAGGTTTCTGTGAGTGAATGGTTCTGCATACCTTGCTCACGAGATCCTGCAAAAGTCAGAATGCCTTGTACAAAGGTTTAAAGAGTCCATATCAAGCCTGAAATAGCAATGCAAAATCCCAGTCCCTCACAACTAGACTACACAGTAAATTCACTCCATTTCTAAAAAGAATGTAACTACCTAAAACGAAAGTGGAAACCAAAACTCCCCGAGGGCTCTCCTCATAAGTAAAAGTAAAAGTACTCAGACTTTACTTCCCCTCTACTGATCAGAAGCACAATGGTCCCAGTTAACTACGGGACCTTGATCAGGTGTTCAGCTGGGATCAAACCTCCCCACTCAGGCTAAGCTGGCTATAGTTTTTAAGTGATCAGCATGCGATGCTGACAAAGCCCATGAGTCCAAAGGCCAAGGTTTTGCTTCCACAGCACAGTTTGGCCATAGCCAAGCTCCTACTTGTTACCCAGCACAAGCAAATCAAAGCCAGTCTAGGAAAAAAGCTTGGTTTCAAGTCCCTGAAAGCAAGCTAAAATGACTCAATTTCATTACTATAGATCAGAAAAGGAGTAAATCTGGTACATTAGAAACAGCACTGTTACAGAACATGTTCTGGTAATGGCAGGATTTCGCACCTACCTGAGGGATGATGGTGATCTTGAACCGCAAGTCATGGAGCCCTATCTTTGCAATATTAATTCCATCAATAATAATTTCTCCTTCAGCTGCTTCATTAATTCGAAACAAACCTAAAGTAAGGGAGGATTTTCCAGCTCCTGTTCTTCCAACTATTCCAATCTGTTGGGGAAAGAATACAGGAACAACTTACTCCGGGGAAGAGTTAAAGCATTTCCAAGCATCTGCCTGAAACTGACATGTTTTCAGAAGGCTGTCATGTTTGCTGGGCTATAAACAACCCAAAACAACATACCAAAGGGTGGCAGACCAAAGGGGAAGAAAAATCTCTGGATATGAAAAAAAAAGAGCAAAAAGCAGTCTCCAAATTTTCAATCCAATCACAGAAGGTTTCAATTTTTCTAGAAAGGCAGGTGGAATTGGGTAGAACAGTCCAAGTTTTCCCTAATCCTTTGGTTCATGCTTCACAGTTATAATTGCTGACTTGACATTTATCATGTTTGAATTTATAGCAAAAATAAGCCAAAAGCACTCGGTTTCATACCATACGTTTTGCTTCCCAGTTAGACTGAAATATTAATCAATATTTTTACTTTTTAAAAAATAAATCGAAGATTGCTACGTTGTTTGGTTGATGTATCTCTTGCCATCTGCCCTTTCTAACACTCTTGGGGTAGTATTCTGCCCATATTTGTAAACAGAAAGTGTGCACTCAGGAAAAAAGCAAATGTTTTTTCGGATACAACAAATAAAGAAGCCAGACAGTAGATGTGTCTTACAGTTACCTTTTATGCTGCTGTGTAAGATCATACTATTATTAGACATCAGAGAATCCACACAGGACTGAAGCGGGATGCGTGTAAGCGCATGTGCGAGGAAGCAATAGGAGAGACACACGTGTATCGCCATCAGTTTGGCCAGATCCAGAGAATCCACTCTGAAGTCTCATTTTCTCCTGTAGAATCTCAACTTGCAACTTCTGCCTCACTAGATCAGGGCTTCCCCCCCTCTGCTTAGTAGCTCATTTTCCTGATACTATAACTAACTTAATCTCTCTGCAACTTGTACTCCCCCTTGCTTACAGCAAATAAATTAGCAAAATTTCCTGGGAAGGGGAGAGAAAACAGCATAAACCTCACTTCCTTATGAACCCAGATCAAAAGATACTTCATAAGCCCAAATAGTGTTATCTTTAACCCATGATGCAGGACATACCCTGAAAAGGCTAAGAGCCCACTACATCTGCAGTTACAGTAAGACTGATTCGACAGAAGCTCTTCTAGTTCTTAGACAAACTACAGGACAGGGCTAGAACTCTCTTTGGCTTATGCATGCAGACTTAGTTAACACTCTGTAAAGTCAGATTCACTACCTTCTCACCCCCATTTATGGTAACATTTATGTTTTTCAGAACCAAATCCAAGTCTTCCCGGTAGCGTAAACCATAGCCTCGAAACTCAACCTTCCCTTCCTCAGGCCAGGTACTCGCTGGGGCGGTTTGTTCAATACTCCATTCAGCCTGAAAGAACCACACAAACGTATCTGATCAGTTCCTCCTTCAACTGGACATGGGCTCAGAGGTCTTGAGGAAAGCAATTAAGAAAAATCCTTGTTAGTGTGTAATCTGCAAAAGGCACTGCGATGGTGTTTTTAGAGCTGCTCCAAGGCAGATGAAATGGTATATATAAGCCAAGGGCTTTGCTATCACAAGTACCACTTGCTGGATAAACTTTGCTCTTACAAATGGCAGAATCATACAGGCAGCACATATTCAGATAACTGGCTTGTACATCCCCACCACAGTAAAGAAACCATCAGGAAAGCCAGACATGCAACTATAAGCAGTTTAACTGAGATCTAAGCACTAGAAGATTAACAAGCTGGTAAAGTAAACAGCTGCTGCCTCAGCCTCCCACAGAGATGGGAGAGGAGAGAACACACCCCACTGCATTTAGTGCCAGTGCCAAACAAAAAGGCTTTTAACTGTAAAAACACTGGTCTGCCACCAGAACCTGAGAAAAAAATTCTAGGAATAGTCCCCATAAGGTTTGGCTGCAAAAATAGTGGCTCAAGTCAGGTTCAAGCCAAAAGGGGCACAACTGCAGATGAAATGAGTTGTTAGGTGATTTGAATCAAAACAAAAAAAGTAAAAACTCTTTACTCCCCACGCTGAGAGAAAAAAGAGAAACATAAATTAAAAAAAAAAGTTTAGGCACTGAGGAAACAAACACATTTGTACAGCTCCACTGCTTAGCTCAGGGCAGAACAGCACACCTCTTTAAAAACACTATGTAAATATCAGTGGATAGGCCTCAAAAGGAACCACCCACCAAGGTAAGAGCCTGTCCCTAGAGGGAGGGCACTGACAGCACCAAGCTCTATCCCATCCCTCAGCTCAGAGGACATACCCAGCTGTACTCTCCAACCCTTTCAGTCAGGCTGAAACATGTCAGAACAGGGCACTGACTTCTACAGCTGTGGTGGACAACTCAATGTACCTCCTTCTCCATTTCAGCGTATTCTTTGACTCTTTCAACAGCAACAATGTTGGTTTCCAGCTCAGATGACATGCGAACTAGCCAGTTCAAGTATGCTGTTATCTGCAAAAAGAAAACAAGTCTAGAAGCAGTTTACACTAAATATGTTACCTGCAATAAATGAAAAACACAAAACAACCAAAGCACTGCAAGTTCATGGAATGCACAAACACAAACAACATCTTGGCTAATCAGTGCTGGACAGGAGAAGAGTCCAGATACCTTTAATATGCAGGAGATGAGTCATCTTAGTCACATCCCCTCACACAGACAAGGCACAGAAGGAACTTCCCAGCATCTTTCCAGATGCTATTTGTAGCTGTTACTCTCCTCCTATGTTCCTTATATTAGTTTTCCCTCCAAAGCTGTAGCAAGGTTCTGACTTTCTCATGCAGTCTTACATTTCAGAGCTTTTTTTTTTTTTTTAAGGTAACGTTACCTGCAGTGAGTAGGACACTGAGAGGCCAACTAGACCTGCGCTGAGTTTGTTGCGTGCAATCACTGCAAACAATGCTGCAAAGAGAACAATACAGTTCCCCACGTACTCCAGACGGACAGCCAGCCACCTGCAAGACAGAAAAATGGAATGCATCTTTCTGGTAATTCACACACAGAGAATTAGGAATGTGGCCAACCAGTGCTCTGTCACACATCTTGTTTTTGAAAAGATTAGTAATATGGCACCTGGGTACTGACAGTGACACAGGAACTGCAACGTATTCAAGGTTCCAGTCAAGTAGCATGCAAACCTAGAGGCATCCAAAATTAATAAACCTTTCAGGTGCATAAATTCCTGTCTTAGTTCAGAAAGCAGTTGTGATTAACACTGGGATCAATGAATCAAAACTTGTAAAAAAATATTACCCAGAAGTAAAGTAGAAACTTTCAGAACGAACAGAAATTCAGAAGTAATCTTAATTGCATCACAGAAGTTTAATAAAAATATCTGTGAAACAGATACATCCACACAGACTTTCTTACCCTGGATAGATATGCCAAGAGCTGTGATTTATAAGGAGCACAGGCAGCAGAACCGTGTCCTCCATATGTAAATGCCTTTCAATATTTCAACCCCACTTTTACCTGTTTGCAACAATACTTGGATAATAAGCTTTCTGATTTTCATCCACTTTCATGTCGTTCTGCTTTATGAAACGTTTCTGCTCCTCAAAGGCCCGAATGACACTGACTCCCAGGAGGGTCTCATTGAAGTGAGAATACACAGGAGAACGACTGACAGACTCAAGGCGCTTGAGCTGGCGAGAAGTGGCCACATAAAATCTCTGTAAATCAGAGTATGAGAATTATGGTTACATCCAGACTGCGTGTGAAAAGACAAAGGGAATCGTAAGAGAGTTCCCTGCCATTTGGGCTGTTAGTTACAGAGATTCAGCTTACACATGGCAATACATGCCTCCTCCAACACTTTCAGGTCTAAAAACACCATTACACACACTCTGCTGTCTTTAAACGGCTGTCAATCAAACCATCTCATGCAATAGCCATTTTCTCCTCTTTCTCTTCTCTGCAAGTTTAGGTCAACAGTATAACACACACGTTACAGCTTTTAAGGTTTACTAATGGAGCCTGGTAGATTCAAGAGTCAGTCAAAATCCAACTTCTTCACTCCAATCTGTACTGTCTCTCCCAGATTTCTATGAGTAAACGAAGCACACCCTGCCTACACAAGACAGGAGTGAAAGGCTGCCATCATTTCTCTTGCTCTGTAAACAATATTCCGACAAAAGAGGCACTTCAGCAATGCACACATACCCCTCTAAAGGCTACGCTTTTATTTGGAAGCAAGCTTTAGAAGAGCCCATACATTTCCCATACTTGGGCTCTGAGCAACAAGCTATACAAAATTTGCCTCAAGATCTAATGGCATTTTTATAGTCTGCTTTACTTTCTGCACAGAAGTCATTCTACACTTGACAGGAACGGAAGGAAATGCTCTGCTAACGTCAGCTAATCAATAAACCATGCAAAGCACAGTCAGTCAAGCATGACTCAAGTCAAACACAATAAAATCCATCCCAGTGCACAGTCAGAAAATAACTGTCTTAAGTAACAGAGGATGAGTGACTGCTGATTCCTGGTAAAACCCCCTACCTGCACAAACAAGTAGACAATTCCCAGAGGTGGAATAATGACAGCAGCTATAGGTGTGGCCAGCAGAATGATGATACAAGCCCCAATCACATTAAACGTTGAGCCCATGAACATCTTGATGATTGGTGGAATGGTGGAGTCAATGGTATCTATCTCCTTAGAGAAACGGTTCACCAGATTTCCACTGGGTGTACGTTCAAAGAAACTCATTGGTGACCTGAGGACATTGTGTAGCAGGTTAAGGTGCAGGTGTCGTGAAGCAAATATTCCTCCTATTGACACAACCATCGAGTAGCCAAACACAGCAATACCTAGAAAAGATGAGTTATTTTTAACTGTCTCCTCTCACACAAAACATCTTCCTTCATTTTGTCATCACTCAGCATTAGCACATCTCCAGCACAATAATCCTGAGAACTGGGGCTGACTACAGGTAGACTCAGCAATTACTCCAAGTAATTACCGCCCTCCCCACCCCCAAAAAGGCCCAGTGAAAACACTGTATTTCTGTCATGGAAGATGTTTTTTCTCCATCACAAAAATTTGTGTAGTATTTGAGCACCTTCCTTGAGCACAGACCACTGAATTTTAAGATGGCATTTAGTTTTTATTGCAGGATTTTTATGGCAATTCTGAAGCGGCGTACTTGGGGTATTATGTTTCATGGCAATCAAACTTTGACCACAAAGAGGCCACATAGAAAACCATTGAGCTGGCCTCCCTGTGGTGTCTTCGATGGACCCTCAGTCAGAGGAAACACCAGCCTACATAACTCAGCCAGGCAGTGGCTGCAAGGGAGGCAGTGCAGCCATGGCCTCCTGTGACAAATTGTCCCTGCAAACCCGGCTAGCATGGCTCGTTTACAGGCCAAGGAGACGTTTCCTGGGTCAGACATTTTGTCACCAACTGCTGGCTGATCAGCCCCTGCCAACCACTTTCATTCTTGTTTTGTACAAACGAAAAAAACATATTCACTAACTGAATTAATTTTATAAGTTGGTTTGCTTGCCTTTTTTTTTTATTCACTCAAGTTTTTCATCTTTCTAAAAAGGAAAAAAAAAAACCAAACACACCACCCCACACAAATCCTTAGCAAACTGCTGCTGCAGTTCTGGGGATACAAGCACTCCAAGAGCATTAGAAACATTCCGAACCAGCTAATCTTAAAATATGCAAGACCAAGCAAACCTTGAGAAATTCCCAGTGCTCCATACACTCCCAGTCGGACATTTGTGTACTGCTGTGTCCCGTTGATAACAGGATCATCTGTCCATAAACTCAGCCAGTAGTTGGAAGCCAGGGACGCTATATGATTACACATAAAGAGGAAAATGCTCAAGAAAGAGATAAAGAGTCCAATTGCTTTCATGTAGTCCCAGTACACAGTTGCCTTCACCTGAAGACAGAAGGGAAAAAAAAATATTCATTTTACAGATTAAGTTTCAAAACTAGCAATTCCTCCTTCTTCAACCCCTATTTAAAGTCAGTATCCCTGCACCAGAGCGTAAAAACACAATAGCTGCACTCTTAGAGAGCCACTGCTTGGGAAAAAAAGCTGCAAGTGTTCTGCAGAGACTGTCAAACCTGACATCCCTCCAGGGCACGCACACATCATCTTTCCCTTGTCTTCCAAGGGACTGGTAAGGAGAGAGCTGCCTGAAGTAACACAGAGCATCAGTGGCAGAGCCAAAAATTTCACTGAGAAGTTCCAGGTTTTGGCTTTCTCTCTTCACCACAAGATTATACAGCCTTGCTCTGGATTTGGCTGGGGTAGAGTTTATTTTCTTCATAGTAGCTGGTATGGGGCTGTGTTTTGGGTTTGTGCTGAAATCAGTGTTGATGATGCAGAGATGTTTTCGTTACTGCTGAGTGGTGGTCCTTACAGAGTCAGGGCCTTTCCTGCTCCTCACCCCACCCCACCAGTGAGTAGGCTGGGGGTGCACAAGAAGTTGGGGGGGGGACACAGCGGGGACAGGGATATCCCAGACCATATGACATAATGCTCAGTGTATAAAGTTGGAGGAAGGAGGAAGTCAGGCGGCATTCAGAGTGATGGCATTTGCCTTCCCAAGTAACCGTTCTGTGTGACAGAGCCCTGCTTTCCTGGAGATGGCTGAACACCCGCCTGCCCATGGGAAGCAGTGAATGAATTCCTTGGTTTGCTTTGCTTGTGTGCACAGCTTTTGCTTTACCTGTTAAACTGTCTTTATCTCAACCCACGAGTTTTCTCACTTTTACCCTTCTGATTCTCTCCCTCATCCCAACTGGGTGGGAGTGAGCGAGTGGCTGTGTGGTGCTTAGTTGCTGGCTGGGGTTAAACCACAGCAAGCCTTTAATTAAATCCTTGCTCCACATAGCTTGTATCCTATGATCTAACTTAAATCAGAGCATACAAGCAACACTGCTAGGAGGTATAACTGCCATTTTCCCAGGAACCTCACTCTCAGGTTTCTCAGAAAGCCCGGGGTATCCTGGAATTAGGTACTTGTGTTTACAGTGGAAACTTGGCTTAAATTCATCTGAGTCAATTCTAGCTCCTTACGCTGAAGGTCAAATTTCATTAGGTCACCTAATTTGTCACAACCTCTCTCCAAGAAATAGCTGCAAGGTTTCCATGTCTTCTTTTAAACTCTGCTGTGGTCAGGCCCCTCATCTTAAACAGAAGTTTTGGTGTCAGCATTCTTTCTGCACAAAAACCTAGAGCTCAGCTTTAGGAGCAGAGGGCACAGCAACGCTTCTGTGGAGTACTACACAAGCAGCAGTAAGTCCAAGAATCCACTCAGACCTTTCTCACCCCAGTTACATGGTCTTTGGAAGCTATTTGCTTCTGAACTCTGTGGGTTTTTCTGAAACTGAAAAAGAGTGCAGGAAACAGGAATGGGAGACCTTACCCTCCCGGTCTTTGCTGTGTCAGCCTCCGTCAGTTTCCAGGAATTCTTTTCAGCAAGTGGTTTCTGCTGCTCTGCTGTGCTGCTCTGCTGCTGTGACTTCCCAGTGTCTCTGCTGTATGTTGAAGAGTTACTGAGTTGCCTGTTTGAAGACATTTATTTTTCAGTCTCAGCATGATACAGGTCAGGTGTTTACTTCATAAACAGACTTCAACAGTCCATGGCTCTAAGTCAGTGGCTTTGATTACCACCAGAATAATGTATCTCCTAACCAGTCATCACCAGGCCAGTGGTTACTAGAGCTTCCCTCTTCCCCTCACAGTGCACTCCTAATCCTCCCTGAGGGCATTCAGTTCTTGAGTATCCATCTTCAGATACAAGTAAGAGGCTAGCCAGTCAAAAAAGTCTTGGTTGAGCAATCAAACTCCCAAAAGAAAAATGCTTGGTGATCATCAACATCAGCCTTTACAAACCCTGTCATCATGTACAGTGCAGCTGCTGACGTGTAAAAAGGGTACCCACACTGGTAGCAAAATGGGCAACTGTACGCCCAAGGCACCCATTAGCTCCCAGAAATACAGGATCTCTAGAGCACCACAAGAATAAGGCATAGACTATGAGACTGATTTTGGGAAGGTAGAAGCAAAGTGATTGCCTTTGGCCTCTCTCAAGCATAACAGCAGCTGTACTAGGTCAGACTACAGGTCCACTTAGCACTTCATTCCATCTGACAGCAGTCAGCTGCAGAAGTCTTGGGAAAAAGTCTGAAAGCCAGACTCACCAATATGATACTCTTCCTTTTATGTGAGCAAACCCACAGCATCTTGCTACAACACAATTCTTTCTTCACAGGTAAAGAGGAGTAGCACAAGAGCTCTGTATGTGCAGACACACATGCGCAACAGTCTGCACCAGGAAACTGGATTGAGGCTGCAGCCTTATAGGCTCGTATGCCTAGGCTGCTAGCAACTGGGGAGACTGGGATCCAAGGGCAGCTATTGGGCAGACTGAGTGTCTGAGCCCAGCAACTGGGGGGATCCACGTGGTACATATACATGTATTATATTCTCACTAGTGAACCTCCATCCTGCTTAGCCAGAGATGGGAGCAGAATGAGCCCGTTTGGTGTGGTGTTTGTGGGGGTGCTCTACATGTCTGTGATCTGTGTGGCCAGCCATGTGTACATGTGGTGTGCATACACACTCCATGTGCACGTACCTACTGGAAGTACATCTTCAGCCTTGCTACTGTCGGACCTGGAGCCATGGAGCAGCAGCACCTCACCTCTCTTGGGTTCGAGGCAGGGGGAGGGGGGGGGGAAAGATAGAGACTACACACCTATGCATCAGCTTTCCAGGGGCTTCATTTGCAAGCACTCCGTTTTCTATAGGCTTCCCTTCCTTTCCAGATGGACTATTTGTATCTGGGGGTTGTGAAAAAGGAAACATGAAAATAGTAAACAAAAAGATACAAAGGTTTCATGTCAATCTTTAACGCCAGGTGCAGTCCTAATGTGCAAAGGGAGGAACACGAGGAAGTATTTACATATACTAACAGATGTAGTTCATTGGTTCAGACCTGATGAACCAATCAGTTTAGTTCCACTCCCAACAGGACTAGTTACCAAGACAGTGAACATTTATTTTTCTATTTTTCTACCAAATGTAGGTCAGTAATAATAATGTAATATAATTACGAGGACATACTTGATGTTAAAGGATACAATACCAAGTCACACTATGACTCACTCTGTGGAAAAAAAACCAAAACAAACAATCCAACCACTCCTTTTCAAACCACTTCTACACAGTTAACTATAAATTATTTTCCTTTTAGAATGCAATGAGAAGATATTCTAGTAAATGATGGGGTGAAGCTGTAAGAACAGAAGGCACATGCTATTACCTTTGAGCCTTCCTGCAAAATGAAGCAGGAAGCAACATGCAAAAGCCTGGTGTTTTTAAGCAATCATAAGAATCAGATTAATTTAAGCAAGAGATCTTTCTATGAATGTAATTTCTCAAAAAAAAAAAAAAAAAAAAAAAGTCTTGTTATCCCACAACATCCCATTTGTAACAACATGCAGCACACATGAGACAATTGTCTAAAACACTTCAAAACCTGCCAGCTTGAAATATTAAGCTTTCTCTGAGCACCTCCAGAGTAATACAGTACCATGAGTAAAACTTCTAGGTACACATTACGTCATCATTTTTCTAATATAAACCGAATTACTGACTCCTAAAAAATTAACTGACAATTAAATGGAACTCTATTTGTAAGTATGAAAGTTAATTCCTAATTTGTAACAAAAAATTTTTGCATTTTAAATGGTTTATGCAAACAACCAGCCGCACCTATTAAAAAGATGTGTGAAAATCTCTGTAGATCTAGAGTCTGAAGTTTTCGTGGTTTTATACTAAAGCAAAAATATATGCATGAAATAATTCATCAATACATTGTGAGGACTGCTTGAACATAAAGCTGTTCCCTCCCGTGCCTGCAAACTGAACACTGGTTCATTACTCTAAAAACCCAAAGCTAAACTGTTCACTGTGGTATAGAAGCAGGAAAAAAAAACAAACAAAAAAAACCAAAACACAAAAAAATGTGAAAAGGTGAAGAGTTCAATGATTTAGTTCTTATTTTTATTTATACGAATGACAGCAAACCAGTATGGGACTGCTGGTTATTTTAAGCACCGACAGGATTTATTTTGAAAGGCTCCCGTATGAAAACCAGCAAGCATTCCAGCATCATACCGCTTTAAAGCGTCACTGAAGTTCTGAACCCACACGAACAGAACAAAACAAAACTGTGAATAAACCATCCTGCCCTAACAGCTCTTAAATTTGATTTAGTGTTGTAGGCGACACAGATTCCCTGCTTATACAGCCTTTAACCTCATGAGAACAAAAAATGCTCAGGATTGCCACAGCAAATCCGGCACGTCCACCTAGGGTCTAAGCTCCCTAATGAGGGCTCTGTTGAAAAATGTGTTCAGAAACAATAAAAGGGAACAGCTGCAAAGTACTAAATACACATATGAGAACAAAAAGGACCTTCAGGGCTCAATGCTGCATGATGCCTCTCTGGGTACACTCACTACACTCCTAAATCCAGGGTTCAACTGTAAAGTTTATTTAAAGGTTCCTCATGGAAGTGTTTGAGATAAGTTATGAGCAGCAATTCTTTATCTACAAGCTGACACGCCAACTGTTGTAGCATCACACAAACAACGAACATGCAAACCAAGCTGATACCTTCTATTGTGCTAACAAAATTCTAATAATGACTCAAATGAACTGCAGCTACTCATTTTACTCCAACACAAGCACTAACAAAGCCACATGGCAAAAAAGCAGTTACCTGTTTCCAGAGGTTGAATCGTTCCTTCTAACGAAGGATCTGAGTCTAAAAGTATACATAATTAACTTTTGCCAGAACACACTCAACCATTTTCAATCTTTAGAAACACAAATGCATCCAAGTAGCACAACCTAAACCACAAAACCATAAATGCCCAGGGCAGGATCAAGTTTGCCGAAATGGATCTCTTTTTAATCTCAAGTCTCATATACAAGTCAAAAAAGACCACCTTGAGGAAAAAGAAAAAATCCAAATCAGATGGCTACAAGTGACAGATCAAAAAACTTACTTTCTTTCAAGATATATACTAAAGAAGAGAGAATTAAAAAAGTTACTCTGAAGTGGCCTCACATTGACAACAACATAAAAACCTCACTACACACACAGAACTACCATATGCATTTTCCCCAGAGGTGGGCAAGAGACTTCATTCAAGAATCTTAAGAGACAACTTGCCCTTAACATTAAAGGTGCAAAGCATCACGTTTTCAGATTGGCAACTTCTACCTACATGGTGACATCTCTCCTCCCACAGCTCTGCTATTCTGCCTTGCTTTAGTCAGGCAAGTGCAAGGAGAGGAGAGCTGCAGCAGCACAGGTTTACTCAGTCCCATCTACTCTGTAGTACCCGAGCATTATCCTGCATGGTCAGATTAGTAAGAAACAGTGAGATATTTCACACTTCCAACCATCTCAATTCCCTAACAGCACTCATCTTAAATCAGTATTTGCTTCTGCTATTCGGGGCAGAGGCTGCAAATAGCTTTTACTTTCGAGAGAGAAAGGAAAGAGCTGAATTTTGCTAGAAAATAACGAAAATGAACTTAAGAGAAAGTCAGATTATTTCCTGACACAGACAGGTGTTTCCTGAGTTGCTAATCAGGTCCAGACTCCATGACAACATTTGGAAAAAAGCAAAAATATCTCAATATTTAACTCTCACCTTACAAGGAGTCAGAAAGGAGAGAACTCAACCATCCCTACAGGCATCATACAAGCGATCTTAACTATCCAACACTGTTACTAAGCTTAACTCAGCCCCATGCTGTTAGAAAGAAGCACAGACACAAAATACAGGTGTGCTGAGCTTTACTGGGAGACAGTGTTGATCGTGAAGGCACAATGGTTTAACTTGCAGATATGAAACTCCAGCTCACAATGCAGAATTAATTTTTATTATGAAATACATACTACTACATAGTGTATAACACAAAGCTATAATATTCAGCAAGGAAGTTATCTTCCTTTCAAATTCACCACTTTAAAAATAAATCTAGAAGTTTTTTTCTCACTGCTGCAATTTGGGAACAATTTATACAGCCAAGCAAAACCCTGCAAATCTTATTCCAGTACCATACTATCTTTTCAAGAAAGCAGATTTCTACTTTGTGCAGAGATCTGGGGAATTAAGTCCACAAAATTTAAGGAAAAACTCGAAGACATTCAAGCTGAATAGCTACAAGTGACAGATCAAGAAGCTTCTCTTCGAGATATGCAAGATATGCACATTGTTGAAGCAGATGCTACAGTCCAGACCCTTAGCAGTTCTTGAAGTACCTTTGCCTCCATTACCCTCCAAAACAAAACTGAGTAACCTGTTGTGCTGACAATTCACATGTTAAGAAAATGAACTGAGTAGTCAAGGAAAGGTCTTTCAGCTTTTTTTTTTTTTTTTTTTTCTTTTTTTACTTCAAAGTCACAGAGCCAAGTGCTGGGGAGACAGCCACGTGAAGCACAGCCCAGACAACGTAAAACAGATCTAGAATTACTGGTTGTGCTGTACATCTCTCTCTTCCAGGCACTGCAGTCGAGATCAAAGATGAAACAGACAGTTAAAAAAAATTTCAACCTTCTGGTGCAGTTGCATTTCTGTGGAACCACTTTTACTCCCCACAAACACTAAAATTGGCTCCAGGCTTTTCAAAGACAAAAAGTTTATGCTGAAGTCATTTGGAAAAAAAAGTAAAACCCCAACCCACACAGACATAAAACCAAAAACTAACATCTGCTGCATTAGTATGGGAGATAAGGGAAAAGAGTCATAAGAAAGGTAATTTCAAAGTAACTACTTGCTATCTGTACAGCAAGAGGTACCGCAGCAACAGCTACAAGTCCGAAGTGGGGAGAGGGGGACATCAGAACAGAAATGCACTCACAGGAGTCACGAGCACAGCTATGAGTCTAGGCCAGTCTGCACAGGCAGGAGTAGTACTGGCAACAGCAAATCAGCCACACTAAATGCCAGAGAACCAAACAACTGCTAAAAGCAAGAAGAATTTGGATGCTTTTTATACAACCTGGCAGGTTAATTTTATGTGCAATTCCAGTTACTCTGGAGAAGATTACACACTGTAGACACAGTAAGGCATCCATTTCCTGTACCCACTGCACACTGCAATCCCTATGGCTGAGCAGCTACTGCTGCCACCCTCGTCACTGCCTTCTGCATCAAGTTGGACGCTGGAGAAGGGGAAGCGCACACCTCCTCTCTGAGCCATCCCCAAGCCTCACGCAGGGCCAGCTTTAAGGAGCAGGGAGTTTTCCCACACACACAGAAGAAACCCTGTGAAGCTGAGGATGGGAAAGGCAGCAGTACAGCATGCAGACAGCAGGTAACCCTCAGGAATCCCAATGGGAGAAAAGGGCTGAGAGGCAACAATCTCAGCCAGACCTCAGAGACTGGGTAGGAGGAGAGGCTTTCCCACCCTTGCAGAAGCAGGATGTATTCCAGCCAGAAAGCACCAATCCAGTTTTCTATTTTGCTCCTGCTTAGAGGTTTTCAAGCTGCCAACATGTAGCTTCAGACACAACAGGGCTTCCCTTTTTAAGGAAGTGCACAGATCCTCTCCAGCTAGCTCAGGCTGACTCTCATCACAGATTACTCTGTGTTTGTTCAAGAACCTGTGATTTTTAATAATATTTAGAGATCTTTTACACATCTGATAAATATTATTATCTTGTGAACCAGACAAATAATGTCTCTATTTTTCTCTTTTTACCATTAGCAGAAGATCACTTGACCAAAACAGAAAAATTTGCTGCAAATAGGCCAACCCTCTGACATTGTAATCCTCTCCGAATCACCAGGGTCACACTTACAAAAGTGCCTTTTATTAGACAACCATAGAGAAGCATGGCAAAAGATAAAGCACTGTCTTTACTTTACAAAAAAAGATCCAGTATTTAAACAGAAAGGTAAAGTAACTTAGTTTAATGTAAAGGACTTCAAAACCTACCATGCACTTGGAAAGGGCAGGAGACAAAGGCTAAAAGAACAAGGCTATTAAAGGAGGCAAATCTCCATCCAAGTCACATTTTTAACTTCCTAGGGAACTGCAGAGAAAGTTAATTCGTCTCTGGAAGTCTCTGAACACTGGAACAAGTCTGTGCTCAAAGTAGCTATAGGAGCACCTACAAAAAATACACAGCGCTAGCCTGATTCTGCTTCTGTAAAATCTCTTCCTGCAGTGCTTTTCACAGTGGGAGATCCCATCCGTACAGCACTTGCTGTTTACAGACAGTGTCCACCCAAACCAGCATCCCAGTCTGCAGAGTGACAACTGAGGCATACAAAGAGACCTTTCACAGAGGAGAGCTAGCCTACAGCACAACATCCTGACCTTGAGCCTCAGCTCAACACATCAACCCCAAATACAGCTCCCCATCAGGGATAGCTGGATGCACAAGAGGAAGCCAGGAGAAGATGCCACCTTGCACATCCAGGAAACACACATCTGTTTTGCCTGTGACAGGCATGTGAGGAGTAGACCAAAAACGCCTCTGCTTTTCCTCTAGGGAATGGGTGGGAACCAAGGGTTTTCCAAATGGAAGATGAAGGGAAAAGCAGGCTCAATCCCTTCCTCGTTCTGGAGAGCCTGCTCTGCCATGCTCAGCAGCAGGCATCTGCTACCAAACAGGCCTCAAGCACATGCCAACAACTTAACCCCAGTCAGCACAGTGCAAGCCCCCCTCATACTATCTGGCACAAGCATATGGAAGAATGTCAGGAAATCACCATAGGAAAGCTGCTGAAGACAACAGGCTAGTGGCAAGAGACTAAGTTCCCTTATTAAAATCCAATACTGCAACTGGCTGCAGGTAAAAAAAGACAAAAAATACTCTAAAGTATATTCCTGTATTAGTGCAGCTGTACAGCTGTTTTGTAAAACAGAAAAGCAGGAGCCAGGGACATCAGTTACAAAAATGAGCTGCTGCTTCCTCCTCCCCATCCCCAAAGGAATTATTTGCACAAAGATAACACATCCTAATAAGCACAGGAAGGGTGTATAAACCTCAGAGGACTTTTACTTGATCTCAGAAGCATCTGAATTTTGCTTTAAGTAAGAGGACTTTTACTACAGATCTGCTCCACATTTTCCTAAATTTTAAGAAAGAATGTGTGTTTAATCTCACAACCCTCAATGCCCTGAAGAAATAAACACCTCTACCTACAGGTACATCACAAGAAATAATTTCTTTTAACTTTCCTTCCACTACCAGTATTATTTCCTTTAATGTGACTCCCTTAACATGCCACATGTCAGCTTATCCCAAGAGAATTTATTTGTAAACTTACCACTGTTCTCCATGTTTTGTTCAGCATTAGCATATGTACGAAGAAACTCAGCAAAAGCCCCGTCTTGCTTCAGCAGCTCCTGGTAGGAGCCCATCTCAGAGATTTCTCCATCAGTCATCACCAGAATTGTATCCATTTGAGGCAGATAGTTGACGGCGTGGGTTACCAAAACCCGTGTCTAAACAGCAAAAGGAAAAAAAAAAATTCTAACATCTCAAGTTAGTAAATACAATAGTTGAACTATTGCTCTTGCTGCTTGAATTCTGTGTTATCACATAGTAGTAAATAAGGACAGGCATGCAGCATTTCTAAGAAAAAATACTGTCCTTGTCTTGATTTTCGCATCAAAGAATTTTGAATTACAGAAACCAGAGCACATTTAATTATAAAAAGTCAGGGTTTTTTAATAGAAGTCCTCTAAAAATCTCAGAAGGATTCTTTCATTCTTCAGATGTTTGAAACAAAAGTCTGAATATGAAACTTGACAAACTTGGAATCATTTGAACTCAAAGAAAACCAAATCATTCTCTAGAGACAAGTATCTCATTACGACATACTTTATTTTTCAGGATTCCTTTTGGTCCAATAACTTTTTCAAAAATATGTTTCCCAACATGAGCATCAACAGCTGATAAAGGATCGTCAAATAAATAGACATCTGCATTACAGTAAACTGCCCGAGCAAGACTGACTCGCTGTTTCTGTCCTCCAGACAAATTCACACCCTGGGGAAACAAGAAAATACAATCCTTTATTTACAGCTGAAAAGATACGTCTTGGTACAGTTTGTGAAAGACACAAGCCTTAGGTGGTTTATGCAAATTAGAGAAATACCAACATTGTATGAAACAATTTCCATCATCAATCATTTCGCTACCACAACAGCATAAGCAATTATCATCAAAATCCTCTCAGAAGGAAGCACGTCTATTAAGTGCTCACTGTCAGTGAGGGCCCAGACAAAAACAAGTGTTTGCTAGTCTTGTACAGCAGTTAACCCAGACCCACCTGCCTAATGCTGTACGTTCAGAGGCTCCTTTCTTCTCAGCTGTATTTCTGCAATGCTGCCTCTGATTTAATAAACAAACTCTGTTCACACTCTACAATTTGGTTAGTCTGCTGACCAGTAAGGAAGACAAAGCTGCACCCTTTACTGAATCTGAGGCTGTCAGTTGGCAGCTATACCCCACCAAAACTCATATCCCTACATATCCCTGTCTTCTGGAGAACATCAGCTTAGCAGAACACCTAGCAGGTTACATACACATACCCTGCTGGCCACACATTAGGGGACACCCAGTCCTCCTCCCATAGCAGAGCACGTCATCATCTATGGAAGTTTCCAAATCCCACACCACACACACTTTTGTGACCAAGTGTCAGTTTTGGTGTGGTGGTTGTTTTTGTGGGTTTTTTGATTTTGTTTGTTTGGTGGTGGGGCAGGAGGGCATTGTTTGCTTGTTTTAAATGAAACTGAAGTGTTCAGAAGGTTCTTCTCTTTCTGTTTCCATACATTTTTCTGCTCTATGACCACAGCAACTTAGAAACAATTAAAAAAAGTCACTGCAAGATGCTTTTGCATTTGTAATTGAGGACAGGTTTCCTCCCATTTGAGGTTTAAAGGTAAGAAAAACATACTGTTCAAATTTGTCTCTTATTCTAGAGGATCTGTACTCTGAATGTTTTAAATTCAATACAACTTTAAGATAAAGCAGAAGTCATATGGCCTTAAGTACAAGCAATAGCACTGTTACGGCAGAGTGGGTACTCAAATACCTTTTCTCCGATTTCTGTTTTGTCTCCTGTAGGAAGAATTTCTATATCAGGCAGCAGTGCACAAGCCTCAATCACACGCTTGTACTGACTCTCATTCATCTCCCTTCCAAAGATAATGTTATCTTCCAGAGTTGCATTTTGGACCCAGGCTTGCTGAGGAACATAGGCCACTGAGCCCTGCAAGAAAAATAGTTCCTTATTCAGTACTTTAGACTAAAAGTCTGCACACATAATCAAAGCACAGCATGGCTTTGTGAGGCAGGCCATGCTAATCACCTCACAAATTGCCTATGGTCATTTCCAAACAGCACATAGTTGATCTTGGGCTACCACCTCCTCCAAAATGTTATTTTTATAATCTTCTCTGCAAGTGCATGTAACAAAGTGTGTTAGTGGAAAATAAAAGACTTCAAACAAAATATGATTCTCTAACATAAACTTGGAGGTAACGTTTGTTTAGAGAACGTGTTTGCACAATTACTGAATGTCAAAAGTCATTAGTTCTTCCATATAGTTATAAATTATGTTCTGCATAAAACAATTTAATCTGGAATGGAAGTCTTTAACAAATGCATCCCTGCCAAGAGATTTGTGCAGAAAGCAGGGAAAGTAGTTTTTATATAGAAGTCACTTCAAAGGAAGAGACTGAGCTACTGCAAAGTATTTTGCTTTGAAGATTAGCTCTGTCTTCTCTTTCTGCACAAATAATCAGGGATTCAAATCTCACCTCCTTTATTTTTCCAGAACAATTTTGGAGATGACCAAATGTGCATTCTTTTAAATGAAACATAATTGTTTTGCTCTTAAAATATTTCTCTTTC